CCAACGCCAGTGCTTTTGAGCGGTGGGATATCTTATTCTTTTCCTCTTTCGGCATCTCAGCATAGCTTCACCAGACAATGTTTTGTATATGATAAGCATATCATATCATGTCAATAAACCAAATTCAAAAGGATTTTGGGAGGAGGAGTTTTACGTTTGCTCATAGCCATCTGGTTGGAAGATCGGATCCCATCCAAAATCAGTAGGACCTCTTGGAGGAACAATTTTACCCTACAATTGTAGCATTAGAGTCAGACTGTAGTAACCGGGACATTGCTTATTGAACACACACAAAGATGTAATGTAGAATGTGGCTTCCAAAGCCAGACAATGTGAAACCCCAAAAGCAGTATCCAGACAGCATAGCATGCCTTTGGAGCATGGCACATCCCTCACGTGATAAAGCTTACAGAATGAATAGGGTTGTGTGGCCTAGAAGGCTGTTTTTTTGGATCCTATTGAATATAAACCAAGGTGGTGTATTATGGTGTTTTGGATTCACTCGATCCATTTGGTTTATGTGCTGGGGTGATGAGAATTAAGGTTTCTATATCAGCCCCAACCCAGATAACAAATTGGGCCGAGCTTTAGTCATGGGTCAAATACGTGTACATATTCTATACACATGCTAAAGCACTGGGGTTGGAGCACTATGTTTATTGCATTAAGTGTTTGGGTTCTGGAGAAGAAACAAAAGAGTGAACTCTAGGAACATGTTTGGAACTTATCTTTGGAACTATTCAAAGATAAGTTAACCCAAATTAGCATGTAGAGATCTTTATTCTTAAGTGTCACTTTCATCCGCAGCCATGAAGACCAACATCCAAAATTGCAAGCCAATGCGACTGATGTAGACGCAAATTTTTTTCATAGAATGCATTAACTGCTTAAATATTGCATTTATGGTCATTTTCATTCTTCAAACCCACTTCACACCACAACAATCAAACACATCAATTTTTTCGTCAACATAGAATATGATGTGACAAGGACATTATTTATGCTTAATCCATTATAAGAATTTCTCATACAATAATCTAAGGAAGTCATAGACTAAGCAAACACAAAAAACACGGAACTTAAACTTGGATCAAATAGAGGTGAATCGAGCTATTTTAGGATAAATGAGAAATCTTGTGTACCTAAAGGAATTCTGCAGTGTAACATGTACCAAAGGAAAAAGAGCTAATTACCTTGAAAATCTTGTGTAACTATCAAAGTGTAAGAAAATTCAATCTGGTTTCTTTATCAGGATGATGAAACTAAAAACCTAAACTTGCAACTACAAGCGCTGACTTTTCCCACAGAATCATCTCATGTTCAGCAGCTTCACATAAGTAATACAACATTGGCATGGTAGAGTTGCATAACACCGAAATCCTTTATACAGTTATACTTGAACACTTCACATAGGAAGTACAGACAACTCAAAGCACCCAATGTCTTTCATACATTTATGTGCAAATATAATCCATCGAAGCTCTCTCTTTCTGTCATACACCAACAACATACATATGTATGATTTTGTACTCTTTAAATTTAAATATATAAATTGTGAAAGCACCCAATCCCTCTCTCGTACATTTCCCCATAGATATAATACAAATATACTTTATATTAGCAAACAAATACGACTATAAAAAAAAAAAAAGAACAACATCAGGTATGACGATGCGTTTTGGTTATATTCATTTATAGTTCCTGAGGAATTATGAGTCAAACTTGACTGAATTTTTCACAAGAACAGTGAACTGAGAGGACAAGACTCTAACAAGGCTTGTTCACAGTCTAGAGACACATTGGGCTTAAGCATAGTACAGAGATTGTCAGTCCCTGTTTTGGCAAAGGACTCTGCATCCTTGCTTAGGTCATCTAGGCTCATTCCATCTTGAAATAGGAACACTAGGCCTCACGTCGTTTCTAGAATGGGACTCTTTGAGACCTATTTCCATCGCCAAAGCCTTCCAATTCAACACAACTATTGTCCTGGACAGTCTGAAGAGGACTGCAGGTATCTCAAGGCATTGAAAGTACTCTTGGATCTCATCTTCTGAAGCAGGCTGGACACTGGTTTGGTTGAGACAAACTGAGGTCTAGATTAGCTTCGATTCGCTACCTAACATAATCCCCCACATCAATAATTATGGTGAGTCACCATTTTACCAATTCAAAAGTAGGTCTTAGCTAGTCCAAGTTCATTTGATATGAACTCAACTTCACACCTTCACAATCTTCTTAAAAAATTTTCACTAGGAATCGACACTATGATCCTCAGAGGAGACGCCTCCTAAGAGTAAAGTCTTCCTACTAGTAGAGCCCGAATCAAATAACTATTCAACTCCTTTGTCCTCCCCCCACCCCCGCCCCACGAAAGTTCTCCCCACCATCTTTCTCTCTGTCATTCATGTCTGTAAAAAATTCACTTTTCTTTCTATTGATATAGATCATCATAAAAAATTCCTTGCCTATTTGACTCCCCCCACAAAACAAAAAACCTTGCCAATCTAGTTGCCTGACTACTACTACCATCTATTTTACAGCATATGTTGTCACACTTACTTCTTTCCTCATAATTCAATTTCTTTGTTCATAATACAAGCTCAAGTACGTAGAACAAAAACATTGATTACCATTTTTGTGTTAAGTGTGTACTGCACTAAGGACTTAAGATATGTATCACTTTGGAAAGAACAACAAATTGACAAAAGAAGACACAATAAAGGATGCCCATGGCAGCGGGAAAGAAATTATTACCTGGGTCTTCCCAAGAAATGTAACTGGCTCTAAGTTCGGACCAAGAGAAAGAGAAAAAATACACATAGCATAAGCCGATTTGTCTTCATAGGCATTCAGTATATTGTTCAGGCCTGTAACAAGTGAAAATTTGATCATACAAGTAAAAATCATCTCAGTGTACAGAGAAGAAAATATACTTGAAATCATAAGATTCTAAAACCTTCATGTCCAATCTTCAGCAAGAACCACTTTCTGGTTATCCATTCGAAGATCATGTCAATAAGATTAGAAGACAGGAAAATCATCAGAACCTATAGCCATGATACTTAAATGAAGGAGACACTGAGATATTAGTACAGAGCTACACATAACTACATCACTAGTGCATAAGTACCAGAGGAAAGGTATCACCTCGAAGGAAATTAATGAAAGACTTACATGTAAGGTCCTGAAAGTTAAATGATAAGCTAAGTTATATTCTGGGAAATAGAATGAAACACAAGAAATTAAAGAAGCAAAAGGCACAAAGCAGCTACCTGGGAGACCATTCAAAGCATTGAAGCACAAGCAAGTGTCCTCGACAAGTACAGGCCCATTTACCTTTAGCACAAGGAATCAAAAGAAAAAGGTTAAACCATATGTAACAACATAGAGGTTACACAAAGTACTATCACAACTCAACTGGAAACTTTTTAGATTAACAACATAAGCAAACACCACAGTACCGAGGCTGCAGCCAGTCGGGCCTTTTCTTTGGATATTTCTTCTGGCTCACCTTGCAATTCCGGCACTGCAAACGTTTAAGGTGAGTAACATCAAGAACAAAACAGGGGAGTTGTGCCCCTATCAGCATTCTAGACTTACACGTTTACTACTAAGAAACACTGAGCATGGCATAATCATTGGCGGGTAAACATCTAAAGAAACCAATTGCTATTCATGAGCAGGCGGATTGATTCGAGGGCAATTAGAGATCAACAGATTTTCCTCTTGAAGCAAGTGAGAGAACAAGAGATGGAGGAAAGATTAGTTACGATCGAGCTTCAGGGATCGAAAGGGAATGGAGTGGCCGAGGATGGCACGGACTTCCTCCAGCTTCTTTGTGTTTCCCGTCACGAACGTCACGGGTCGCGGCAGCACCGTCGGCATCGTCTCCTCCCACGTCCCCTCCGCCGGTCGATTATGATGTTGATGGTGTCGCAGGCCGCAGCGGCGCCCCTGGCCACACTTCGCCTGCCACAAGAGGAGACTCCTCACTGCCCCTTACCTGTTCGACGCTTGGTCGGACCGCTATATATATATATATATATATATATATACACATGGCGTGCGAAGGTTCCTTCTATACGGGAACTTCTTCTCACACCGAACTCTTCGATACCCGTCCAACACCCTCACACTCACACCCACTAACGTGTGGGCTCCACAGGTGGGGTTCATATATATATATATATATAAACCAAAATAAGAAAAGTAAGTATTAGTAGAAATTTTGGTTTACTATAACACGCTCTTAAAACTAATTATGTTGCTAATGATCTCGCCACACTATAAATATCATTTGCTGTTACCGATGGTCGCTTGTACAACCATCTGTGAGGAGGGAAGAGGAGAGCCAAAACCCCGACGAGTCCATCGCAAGAAGCGCTGTAGTATCACAAGAAAGAAAGATCGGAAGAGGAGAGAATAATTAGTGAGGCAAAGAGGGGATTATCTTCGGATTTGATTGCAGATTTCTTTGCAAGACCGTCTCAAGATCCCGCTGTAATATCCAGACCTTCTTTTGTTGTGTAATTTTTTTTCCCTGGATTCTTTTTTATTTTCTTTGCAAGACCGTCTCAAGATCCCGCTGTAATACCCGACTTGGTTCAATTTGGTAGAAAATACTGATCGTGCTTGAAACATTGGAGGAGAATACCAAGGAGGTGATGGTGATGATGATGATGATAACATAGATGATGACATTCCAATACCAAGGAGGTGTCTGAACGTTTATCATTTCCTGACAATTTATCATTCCAATACCAATTTGCCCTGCATATTTTCTTTTTCTTTTGTTCCTGCAGTTTATTGCAGCGAACGAATGATGTAATGAGTCAGCTTAAATCGACTCTGGAGAGAATGCACAAACTCATTTGACATGCAGCTTTTCTTACAGGATTGATTCCATTGACAAAGATACGATTCAGGGTAGGCATGTTTTGACTAAAAGAAATAAGAGATATAAGGGTTACAATGAAAGCCATATCTTTTGATACCTACCATAAACAAAAATGAATTCAATATGAGAGCTGGTTTTACAAATGTTTTCAACTCGAAAACAAATGCTTCCCACGAAGCTCGACTACTTGAAAACATAGAAAACAATATCTTGCCTACAAAGAATGCTTCTCTCTCTCTCTCACTCTCACTCTCACTCTCACTCTCACACACACATGCACAAAGGTGAAAAAAAAAAAAAACCAAGAGAACCAGCCGTTTATGAACCTCTGTGAACACACGGAGTGCACAAAAATTTATGAACCTCGTTGAAATGTAAAAAACTTAAAAACCCAGCGGGTAGGTCTGCTGACGGGAAACAAATTTGGGACTAGACATGAAAATTTTTAGTCATTCAAAAATTGGAAGGCTGGATTTTTTAGGAGATCCTCTGGTGGTTTGACACCATGTAAGTCCTTATCCTGTATAGAACTTGATACTTCGTCCAGTGAGAAGGGGATGCTGCATCACAAAAGAACAACATCATGAATTGCGACAAAATTTTCCATGGTTACAGTTAAAGAACACCAACTACCTGGGATCATCTTCCAACAGAAAAGCACTATCGCTGTCAGCATCAGCAGAATCCTTTATCATTAATGTATTCATGTCGGAAAGGACCTGCAAAAGGCATAGTTGGCTCTTTTGTTATAATGTTTGGACTATTCAATGGGGAAAAAAATATAATATATAGTAAAATCACATGAGAGAAAATAATTTTTTCCATAGCATGAGAAAATCAGCAAGATTGCAGTCGTTTGGACTTACAGTCGGAGAGACACTTTGACTGTTATATTTGTCATCCCAATACTGCGTGCAAATTTTGTACAGTTGTTGGACACTCAGCACCTACAAAACCATCAAGTTGTGTTAATGCACATCAGACGGAGATTTGAATGGAGCAGAAAGAGAAAGTTGGCGTACTGGGCATAGGTCATTGACTATCTCATCGTAGGAAATCCTATACTTCTGAAATATTACCTGCATATGACACCAAGAAAAATGACCATGAGGTGAAGAGAACATAAAGAGAGCATTGCTTTCACATGCCAAGATTCTTTTGACTTACTGCTTATAGTGATTTTAACTAAATTTGCAAACAAATAACAAATGCATTTTCTACATTAGAAACCAATTTGCTAAATATAGATTGAAATGGCAATTTGACCACTAGGGGCTGGTGCCATGCAACAAAGAAGAGGCAGACTAGGACTATTGCAAGGAGAGAGAGAGAGGGAAGAGAAAGAAAGAAGAGAGAGATGGCACAGATTAGGAGTTGGAGGTGGATTCATACAGTACCATGCAACATAGAAGAGGCAGCAATGCAACGATGCTGACGAGCAGTGGAAGGGGACGAGCGGCAGTGGCAAGAAGCCAGCAGCGATGTAGACTATCCATAAAGAACAAACACTGGGAGAGAGGAGAAAACAAGATGTAGACTATCCATAAAGAACAAACACTGGGAGAGAGGAGAAAACAAGGGGTACAACAGATACATATACTGAGCATGGTAAGTCACTTGCAGCAAACTTGCCGAGTGATAAGCTTGGTTCCGAACTGGATTGAGCAAAATTGCATGTTCCATGTACTGGTCAGCCATCGAGACTAATAAAAACCAGAATAAACCAACCGGTAAGGTTGGTTTTTAGACCTTAACGACCACATATCTGAAATAAACGGGAAAACAGAAAAATTGGCACAAAGATGATCTTATTTCAGTCACTAGTAAAAAATACATAAGCATACACCCTAAAAGCACCAAAACGTTCTTTCGTTAATAGACACTCAGATCTAAGGAATCAACCTCATCCAATTCCTCAAAATATTGATGCAATAATTCTTATGCATTTATCTGAAGCTATATAATTAAGCAATACACTTGAAAGAGATACAACCATTTAAGAGCTAAAATTTATTTATATAGAATGATATTTCATCGTACATCAAAATGAATCTACTTACCAAGAAACCAACAGCCTGTCTTGTGTGCTTAAGTTCGTCCCATGATGACCCAACATGCTAAAGGAAGGTTGTCATATGACATTAACACGATCAGATATAAACAACAAAGTTTCCAAAGCAAAAGAAGTTCTTGAGATCCATTACCTCTGGCTTTGCTTTAGCAAACCACAGTTCCAGCTCAGACAAGCCAGATTTCATATACTCTCCATTGCTAAAGGAGCAACATTCTCGGCGCAGGAGAAGACTGTAGCAGTATGTAATAGCACATTTCAATAGTATGACATGGATAGAGAAGTTAAAGCAAAAGAAAAGAGAGCATTTCACCTGTTAAAGAGTTGGACATTAATGAAAGAGAAAACTTGAGTAAATATATTTCGGATTAGGACTGCAGGCACCTGTAAGTCAACAGAAAAATAATACGTGATGTAACTACTGGTGTTAATATTAAGTTAGCAGTTAATTTCACTTGACAAGACAATCCTTACATAATTTTCTTGCAATGTTATTAGCAGGTTATCAAGGTTGTCAATGATACTCTGCCAGGTGCTGTTTTGAGTTGAATTTCCAAATGAACGTCCTCTCACCATACTTTTTGTTTTTGCTGTTTTTGGCGCCTTCAATTTCCACATATAATCAGAAAAAAGAATTATTAATGTTTCAAAACTATGGTGGTCAGGCACGCTTTGTCAGAATTAGCAAAAAAATAAATTGGATAATAAATAAATAAAGGAATGGTGGAAAGTTTATACTCCAACTTTTTAAAGACATGACAACTATGAACCATGGATACCGGTATGGATATGGGATACCAACACAACATGATACAAATTTAAAATATGCCAAATCTTGAAAAAAAAAATACACACATCAAGATAAATAAATAAATATATATATATATATATATATATATATATATATATATATACAAAAAATAAAGCTTGATATATATTTATACTGATAAATTAAGTAGTTAAATGCCTATATTTATCATGAAAGATTATTTTAGTAAAATAACAATTTAAAAATATAGGGAAGATAACAAGAAATTATCAAAATATTATTATTTTAATTTCATCAATAATATTTTATTTTTTATTACAAACAACATAAGATAATGTTATCTAGTCATACTCAACATTCAATAAAAATGAAGTTTAACCATAAAATATCCACAAACTCTTGAGCTAGGTTAAATGAAACCACCATACCGGTTACTGCAAGTCAGTTTTTACTGGACCGAGCCATGACCAGCATGTGGATCGAGCGAGGCTTAGAATAGTGTTTACTACTCAATACCAAGGTATGTAATTTCGAATGGTACCGCCCGGTATGGGCGGTACGTACCAGTCCGACGACATACCAGTACACGGACTGCCTACTGCCAGGCGGAACGTTTAAAAGCGCATCGTATCGGACGATACGAGGTAATATCGGGCGGTAACAGTCGAAATTTTGACTGTTACTGCCCGACACAACTAATCGACCGTTACCTCTTGGTAACGATTGATTCGCACTGTGACAGTGCTACAGTGCACGAACGATCAAATTGACCATTGGAGCCCTTTCTCATAGTATTCAAACCCTTCTTCTCTCTTATTTCACTCCATTACATTCTCATACTCTCTTAAACTATCTCAAACTCTTTTTTTCTCACATTTGTGCTCTCCTAAACTCTACAAAACAACGATTTGTAACGAATATGATTTATGACGATCGGCCTTCGATTAACACCACATTGATGCATCAATAGCATACGGTGTATCAATACACTATGTCATGGGATCAATTTCATGATTGGGTCCAACAAACATATCATATTGATTTGCAGATGTATAGGATCGAGGACCCCGATCCACCACCCGTGGAGGCCCGTCGTTCGTTTTGGTGGTAGAATCAGCAATCAAGTATATCTACATATGTGATTATTTAATTCATTTGAATTTTAGAGTTTATATTATAACAAAATAGTCTAACAATTCAAATGATTTTTCTATAGATATTTTAATATTTACATAAGGACAATCCGTAATGAACTGAAATACGAACCTTGCACAAGATATTCTTCAAAGCCCGAAAAAGATATGTGATACTATTCTTACCTAATTTACATTGATTTTGTTAAACTTATGCTATTACTATATTTATTTCTTACTTAAAAACTCTATCCTAATTTTTTTTATTTTCATATATTTTCGGAGGGTTTTACACCTAAATTAGGTGTACCGTCCAGTACGCCCTAACGTACCATACCAAGCCAACCTCGAAACATGGGTACGATACGGTATTGCATACCTTGCTTAATACACTTATGGGCAATCCAACCACAATGACCGGTACAGATAGATATACCAGTCATAAGCCTATCACCAGGTACTAGAACATTTTAAGCTTCATTTTTCAGTACGAGTCCTCTCTCTTCTTCTGTCAATGGCTCTTGCAACTCTCTATCTCTCTCACTCTCTCTGTCTCTCTCTCCCTCTTCCTCTCCCTCTATCTCTCTCTCAAAGTTTCTCTTCCACTCTCTCACAACCTCCTCTGCCTTAACCTTGCCTCCTGGATGTCAACACAGCCACCTCCTCCTTGCCTTGATGATCCCATCTCTTGCTGCTCACGTGGCTTCCCATTCCTTCTTGCGTTGCTACATCTGACACATACCGTCGCTGCCATCTCCTCACATCATAGTTGCTGCCTCCTCACAGTGTCTCCTGTCTCCTCAATTCTCTACTGCTGCTTCCTTCGCTTCTATCTCCCTTTGGTGTGGGACACCAACTACTACCAACCCCTTCTAGTCTCTGTATGTCAATCAGTACGGTTTTTGTACCCTGGTTCAATCACCGACCTGTATTGGCACCAGACTGAGATTGAAACATTTTTCTACGAGTATTTATTTTTTTATAATTAACTAAAATTGGAATACATCGAGGAAGTATCCAACACATATCCTAGAATTATCCAAAATCAATCCAACATGTATCCAATATGGATATAGTAAGTAATCGAACATCGAAGTATCTACTTTATGTAAATGGAAATCCATAAACAAAATGTCAAGTTTCATTGTTTAGGCCTTTAGGGAATATTCTACAGATTGAGCAAGGGATTTCAACCAAATTTTGGAAAGGAATACCAATAGGAACCATCATTTGATTATTGTTCCTCCTAGAAAGTATGTGATGCATTATATAAACCACAAGACCCCAAAATAATTCTATAGGTATCATATTCTTTGATGTGAACTCACCTAAAAGAATCTCATTTGGAGCATCATTTATCCCAAGCAATTAAATTTGTAGCAACCTAAGACCGGACCAGTCAAGGAGTGGATTGGAATATAGAGTTAGTCCAATCACGAAATGTAGTAAATCCTAAATGTGTAGAAAAATAAAATGAGTTGGGTAAATTCTGGTATAGGTAGAAAATGTGAATTTGTGTAAATATGTTGAATAAAAAGAGTGGAGCAAAACCACACTATTTGCACTTGGCTTAGAGTTAGTTAGAAACTCAAAAATGTAAAGAAAATGCTTTATTCCATTCTATTTAATTTATGTTATCATAAACATCATTTATCACTCTTCATATTTTCATGAGCTCTTAATTAAGAAACTTCTGCCCTGAAAGCAATGCCAACTTTATCTTTCAACAAGCCTTTATATTTTCTTGTTATATTTCAAGATTCTCAAATGACATTAATTATTAACAATTAAATCTTTTATTCATTTTACACGAAACACAAGTGTGGTGCAGGCCTAAATCAAGAACAACATAAATATTTTTTAATTACACACTGAGAAATAGGGATGAATGATACGAAAGCTACCCAATCAAAATATTTCACTCTTAATGAAAAGAGTAATGGATATATAACTGCCTATATGTTGCCTTTAAGTAAAAAGTATTAATATCTAATAACACTTATAAAACTACAAGATGAAAAATAATTTTTTCTCTCATTATTCTTGTTAAAATTTTTTCACTTAATTATTTTGTCGTTCACATTAGCTAGTTTCATGTCTATATATTATATGCTATTCAGTATTTATCAATTAATATCTATAAAGAAAAAATACAGTAAATCATGTGAAACCATGATGAAATTATACGCATACATATATATCAAGGACAACATTCCATTGTGATTTTTATCTTATATAAGTTTTGTTTTCTGTTGAAGACTAAGCAGGTTGATTTGAACCAAGTAGGTTTTATGGCTTTCATTTCTGGTTCTAATTGACCTTATAACAAGAACATAAGCACGCCCACCCAAATTACCACAACCTTAGTCCCTTGCCAAGCTTCTGAATATATGGATTGAATTTTTGGGAGTTCTACACAACTATAACACATGAAAGAAGCTAGAACATGGCCTCTACAATTACTTACATATAATTAAAGCTCAAATACATTAGTAAACTCAAAGTTCACTCTCAAATTGGCACTCTGTACCAAGGTTCGCAATACCATACCGTACCGGTATTTCGATCTGGGCTCGGTACCGGTACGGTACGGTGTACCGAGCACTGTAGCACTACTATATTGCTACAGTGCACTGCTACAGTGCGGACCGGTACCGGGCAGTCCGCATACCGCTGGCCTGTCGGACCAGTACATACCGCCCGTACCGGGCAGTACGATTCGGTATGGCAGACACTGCTCTGTACAATCTTCTGCCTCACTAGGGAATATCAAAGTAATTTTGAAGATAAAAAGAATCTACACAGGTTTTCTGGTGAAAGTTAGTGATAGTAAGCAGTTGATAAGATACTACGTATAGGGACTAAATAAGAGAGACTTTCTGAATGTTTCTATTAATGGAATAGGCCTGTGGCAAACAAAGTATCTTCCAGATTTTGTGAAGAGCTAGGATTCTTTATCAAAACTCTTTTCGGATGTTTAGTGCCACTCTTTATTCAAGGTTTAAAAGACATGAACAGTGAGACAATCAATTCATCATAAATATTCACAATAAAAATGAATTTTGAGCTTATTTTGGTAGGAAATTGTGCATGTAAACCTAATTGACAAATTGAAGCTCAACATGAAGCAAGATAAAGTCAAACAATCAGAGTAGCATAGATAAATAGCTAATTTAGAATATAATAGAGATGGATAAGAAACAACAAGCAAACCATCATCATACCTGTAAACACAATGAAATCAATGAAGTTAATTCTTTTTTTGTATTCTCACGAATGATTCCAAAAATTTTCTCCACATAAGCTGTGAGCTGTTGCTTGAAAAGCAAGGCCGGATACTTGGCCTCTACTTGGCGCACAAAAGCAAGTCCATCCACAGGAAGGCTTGAAGAAGAGCGGAAACCCTAGAGAGGGTATCATGTTACATAAAGAGAGAGGAGCATAGTTCATAGGTTTTGTATTAATTTAAAAAATGTTACAGTAACCATGGTACAATTTGCAATAGAATTTCCATAATGAAAACCAAAACTTTAGTGAAACACATACTAGTGCCATACGCCCAAATAAGGATGTTGGTGGGGGAGGTTTCCGGCGTGGTGTGCCAACAACTGCACCAGAAGCTTTAAGACTCTTTTGTAATAGGCATAACAAAGTAGATGTGTTTGATAACCAATAAGCTAGATGATCATTGCTCTCATCATCCTGCATCAAAAATTTATGTGAACATCTTTATAAAGGGACAATTCTTCCCAAAATGTGGTTGACTAACCACATGTTATGCTAATGGAGCAGAAAGCAAAAGGAACCTAACAGGAACTCAAAATACAAGCTAATTAACCAACAAAAGTGACTTGAAGAACTGTGCTAATGATAAAGAAACAAAGTTTAAAAGATTTACCTGATAGCTTCATAAAAGGAACAAGAAAAAAAGTGATAATAATCTGCAATTTATAAGCATAATTGTATGCTACTGTAGCACAAAATATTCTTGGAAGAGGCAATCAATATTGTCTTCATCGTGGCCTAAAATCAAATCGAATATCTAAGATTAATATAATTATATGATACTGTCGCACAAAATATAGTTCTCATTCTAACCTTCACCTGATAACAAACTTTTCAAATCTAATGGTACAATTTGATGACTTTTAAATCACCAAGGAATCATATTTCCTAGTTCAAAGATTATGTTTTTTTTCCATTGCGATCTTCAGCAAGTACTCCATTAATTTTGAAAAAATTCATGTCACAATGATTATGTGAGTTTACTTCAAAGCATCAGTATATTTTTGCTCATTGAGGATTTACTTCCTAAAATGAATGATTCAACATCTTGTACCTAACAAGTGACAAACAACAGAATTTGGTACCACTAGTTCCTTTAAATATGTTACTACAATAATGTCCCTAAGGATAATTCCGTACTTTGGAATTATTAGAACATTGGTTAGCTAGCTATAAAGTCAATATAGTAAACCAACTTATCATACTAGGCATACCACGTTCCAAGTAAGAGTGCTGATACATGTCTTGAACCAAGCCTTTTGCTGTAGTGCAGGTTAAAACTAAGACATTAACTGTAACCCAGCAGAGGTGCAACTAGTGTAAGTGCCTATATACTTTGTTGAAACAAGCCCTTTGGTAAATTGTAGCATAAAAACTGAAAAATCAACTTTACCTACATCAGAGACGCAGCTGTATAACTGATCAATACAAGAGACAACAAATCCCAAGGATAGAGAAGACAGTGAAATGGATTTGTAATTTCTTTAGACATTCAGTAGAGAACCAAGACCCGTTTATGATACCATGTGTAATCATTTTTAGATCCCATTACATTCTTATATCAGAAAATGATTTAGATAATGGTTCAAAATATCATGGCATGCTGGTTGGTACACATGATCCATACTGGTCTCATAACCAATCAGCATGCTGTGGCAAGGCCACAGTAGCTCATTTGAAATTTTATATAATTTCATATAATCTGAGTTGTGCTTAAATGCCTATGACCAAACCAGTTGATCATGATGGCCCGCTTCAGTTGAAGATTCTAAATGTTGGCCTCCACTTGGTGATCATCATTCTCCTGCAATTTCATTTCACACAGTAGAGGCAGCAGCAATGGAAGAAAAGAAAGGAGAAGAATGGAAGAGGCAGTGGTGGCAGCAGTGTTTAGGGCTATTACTTCTCTCAGCACAGTGGAGTGGGATGGAAAAAAAGATCTATCCTGTCTTTTTCCCTTCTCTTTCTTTTCATTTTTAAAATTTTGTCTGTCAGCAGCCGATACACATGGTGTTGCAGGTTCATATTGGTCGAGTGAGGGACTGGTATGGGGTCCAATAATGAGAATTGAAATTTTGGTAGAGATGATAACAGCGATTGTATCTTTTAGTCCCCTGTTTATTCTTTGGTGAGTACAAACCAAATATGACAGTTTCCAAATGATGATTATATGATTGATAATACCTATCAACCGATTGGGTTCCAAATAGCTAATAGGTCAAGGACAAGCCAAACAAATTAAGTTGTATTGGTCCTCAACTCTTCGTTTTGCATTGCCTTATCGCAAGACACAATTAAATTAGGTCAAGTTATATCATCTGATTTTATAATATTCATTTTTTTTAATGGTAACTTATATAAAAATATACAATTGGTTATAAGTTATAACTTAATATAAAATATTATATCTATAGATATGCATCTACATGTCTCTTAATTATATATATATATATATATATATATATATATATATATATATAATTTTTCTAGTTTTCTTGTTGTTTTAGATTATTTTATTAGTCAATTGAGATCCAATTGATCCTTTCTAGTTGACTTGGCTGATCTTGATCATGTCGCTGCAAGTCCACCGTGATCATGAAACAATTTTGCGATTAATAGCCTACTCTAATCCTGTAATTTCCTTTTGTCACATTTTCCCGATATTCCTCATTTTGTTATCTTAATTAAATAAGACTCTCTTCTTGCCGGAAAATTATGTAACTGTAAGATCTAATCATTTGTCTGTATCTGCAAGATTAATTTTATGAAAAGAAGAAAATCTTTAGCAACGTTCAATCATAAGTTAAGCAAAAGGCTATATAGTACACACCTTTAAAAAGGCTAGTGAAACCAAGTAATATCTCTATAATTTGTAGTTACTTAATACTAAAATAAACATTGATTGACCAATAAGCTGCAAGTACCTCAATCGCAGAACCAATCATCTGGATAAGCCGGTCAAAAACACTTGTTTTTTCTGCTTCAAATAACTTCCAGTGGAGAAGACATTTGTATATAGTCAATGCAGCAGCTGGCTTTCCTAGATCAAAACCAATATTTTGAACCACACATTTTATAAGTGTGTCAACATTCTCCTGCATGTAAAATACTGTTGTGAATGACAAATCTTAAGAACTGGGACGATAACAGATTTATTTTGTTAGAAAAACTAGCACTTACATGCTGCCTATCTATGTAAGATTTCCTTATCCTAGAATCAAACCTGGCAAGGTTTTTAATAGCAGGAGGAACAGTTTCAAAATCCTGCAAGAATGATTCAAGAATAATATAGCCAACACATGGAAAAAGTCAAAATAACAAGCAAATATTATCATGAATATGTTTCAGACCTTAGTCTCTTTATTGAGCTCAGAAACACCATCTATGCTCTGCAAATAAAAGCAATAAAAAGTGAAAAAGGCCATAACAGAAAGGAAAATGAGATTTGTAAAATTTTCTGCATGACATATTTCAGAATTCAGGGATCTGGTACATGTTCAGGTGGGCTTTTGACAGATGAATGCAACAAGGCCTGCTGTCGTAAAACTTGATTCTCAGATTCCATGTTAGACAGTTTCTCTTGCAGGCTGCACTTAGAAAATACAAACTCAATCTGAGAATATCTAAAAGAGCACGTATAATCATGAATGAAGGATCAGACGTTCAACCAAGATTATAGTCCCAGTAATCATAAAGTATGCCATACTGAAGATACAGATGAGAGAAATATAGAAACCTTTTCACTGAATTTTTCAGTTCAGTTATCTTTGACTCTGCCTCAAGCGATTTCTTCAGCCTTTCCTCACTTATTTTGGTTGTTTCCTCATATTTCTTCTCGGTTTCATGAATCCTAGTTTCTAAAGAACTCACCAAAGCCTGCAATTTATAGTGGAGCATTGTGTAAGAGAAAAGCAAATGAAGCACACCAGCATATCCTGTGAGCTTTCCTCAGCCCAATTCAAATCATCAAAAGGATTGGTAAATCCAAGGGCCACCCTGAGGATCTAATGTCCAGATAATTTTTCTCCCAAAGAAAGAGGGAATAGGCAAGCTCGTCATACCACATGATGGATCTTTGTTCTTTATAAATAGAGTAAAATGTGATAAGTTCATTGTTTCTTATTTCTTACTAGTTACAATAAAACCTGGTTTACAAAAAGGGCTATTATTTATAACCCTAAGCAGTGCTTAAATCATAATCATTACCTAATAAATTGAAGTGTATTTTTTTATGATCCCAATTCTTTACACTAAAAAAGCCAGTTAGATTCTTCAAGACCTTACTAATCCAAAATGGCTTACCATAGATTTACATTTCAAAACTAACACGTAAACAGTGTAGAATAAATGCAGATAATTGTCATTTATCCTGATGATATATGGTTGAACTAATTGTATGTGCATTTATTGGACGACCAAATGAAATATAAGAGGGGATAGCCAATTCCATTCCCTTTTTCTTTGCATTTTCTTTACTGTTTCTTGTCATTTTTTCCATTTTGGTTGTGGGCCCACCAATAAAAAGGTCCCTTTTCCCAACCTTGGAAAAGGGATGTATATATATTACACAAGGGCTTAACTAGACGTTTACTATGTTGGTGGAGCAAAGAATTTTTTTGTACATACGAGCATTTAAAGTTTCATGTGGTTAGTTGACCAGTGAAGCTGTACTGGCAGTAAGCTTACCACCCGATACCAGTATCAGATTCCTTTTTATGTTTTTAAATGCCCAAAAGTTGATGACAGTCATATGCTCCCACACTCAAAGCACACCCTTCTGCACATCCTTATCCGACACCTGAATTCCTTCTTCTTCTCTTTCCTCCTGCACATCCTTCTCCTCCACCTCCTCCGCTCTCTTTCTCACCATCAGCTGGTCTGGTTGGTTGTGAACCATACCGACACTCAGATCCTGGAAATGTGTTTTTAATTCTTGCTTCATATGCTAACCAGCAGATGTAGTCAGCTCTTGACCCTACTTGTATGAATGCCTAAAATAGCTTATATGAGTCTGCCTCCTCCCAGTATAATGATTGTTCCAACTTCCAACAATTTAATATACTGAGATGTGGAGTAGTCCAATAAGATATAATCCTGTCTATAGAATTCTCAACTAATTATCACTCCATTGCAGTACTAAAAATCATAATGGTTCCTCTGATCCTTCTTCCTTCTCTTTCTCTATCCACATATATATTCAGACAAGCATGAAAAACACCATTATGTTTACGTGCGCGCGAGAGAGAAAGGAAAGAACAGCTGAAATTGCATGGCATAGTGTAGAGGGCAGCCATGTGAACAAAGCATGCTTTGCCACATTGACCATGTCAATGCCAATGTGCATGCCCATACATACAACATAGGCACATGGCTGGTGCAGGCACAGAACAGAATCCATGATATGCTAACAGGTATTGTCATGAGGACATGCATCTTTAAAGCGAATTATACTATCAGTATTACATTTGACACAGCAATATAAGGCTAAGACTTATTTGGTTTGCAGAGGGATATAACAATGAAAAGTAAAATGATAAAAAAAGATCCACTACTCAAAATTGACTCACCTTAAGTTTCTCATTTTCAGCAGTGACCTTATCAATTAAATCTGTATCAGTAACCTGGACCTCATGTATAACAGGAGCATCTTCTGCAGCCCTTTTGGTAGCTTCCTTCTCCTTGACTAATAAAGCTTTGGTTTCTTTAAACTGTCCTTGCGTGTCCTGCAAGGCTACTTGCAACTTTGTAATCTCTTGAGATTTTGATTCCTCCAGATCAAGCTACAAACGAAGGTAAATCAATTTCTATCAGGATGATCTACACGAGCTATGATCATGCATGCTATGAAAGGTCAAAACAACTCCAATTTCAAAGAGCCATAGAGCATCAAACATCTCAGTTGCTAGCTACTATGTCTGTCCAAGCAGATGTGAGTTGCAGACTTCAACCATGAATCTAAAAACCAGACAAAAGATTTAACAATAGACTAATGCAAGGCCTGTAAAGATTCTTACATCAAGCACTTTATCTTCACGCTAAAACTAATAACTAGTTGCTTTGACACTATAAACAGGCTTCATAATGAAAAATAATATAATATGTACAACAACAAACAAGAAGGAAAAATCATCTTGAAAACTTATCCCAAAATGTCACACGTAGTCGTCTATTTTATCACTGGTGTTATCCCATTAAAAGAATATTTGTTACTTGTTAGTACGATTCATGACAAGATCCATCCTGTGATATATGACCAGTAATCAGATGTGTCTCCATCAAAACTTTCCTATTCTAAGAAATGTAGCTATAGATAAAACCATCTTGGCAGATAAATTTTTTTTTTTTTAAATTCTTTCTTGACCATCCCTTTATTCATGACAAGAACAGGAAAAAATAATAAAAGACATAAGCTTTAGAGTTACTAGTTCCACAAATTGTGCAAAAAGTAATTAACATTTAATACCTATATTGAGCTAATAATAAAATTCCTAATTTCATTCTACACAAGATTGGGCAGCCCAATGCATGACACTGCCATCAGTAACTGATCCAGGGAAAGAGATGTTTACAAAATTTTACCCTAAACAGAAAGGCCATTTCCACAATTCATCGTACAGGTCACTATGGAACAACTGTACCACTGTGTTTACACCAACTTAAAAAAAAATCTAATTTTAGAAGTAAAATAAAATACGACTGGCAAGTTCAACAATCAACAACAAACTTGAAATTTGTGTTCAAATGAAAACAAGATGAAAAGAACTCAACATTGACAAGAAACGAACCCTCATGCGTTTCTCCAGTTGCAGCCGCCATGTGAGTTCCTCAACTTGCTTCTCCAACTTATTTTTGGCTTCCTGGAGAGCACCAGTTTCCTTTGCGGCCTGAACATTAAGACAACAATGATTCAACAAGAAAATACAGAGAATTCTTATTTAAATAAAAATGCGGTATTTGTGACTTAACTAAAATGTAGAAATAAATATAAGTTTGATAAAAAATGGATACACTAGAACAGAATTACAATACTGGGAACTTCTTTAGTTCAGAAAAAGTAATGGAATGGAAAAAAATGAAAAACTATGCTGACCTTCTAAAAGAATAAACCATCAACTCAAACACCCACTACAGGTTTTTTATTTTTATTTTTAATTTTTATTTTATTTGGTACCAGCATCAGGCCATTCTAAGTGTCACATGGCTTGGAACACAGGGTGTTTTATTCTGCCAGTTGGACAAGAAGGGGATGTCATCAACAATAACATGCATTCATCCCTCAGAAGACACTACAAATCCTTCAAAAAAATTATCTGTGTAAAATACATAAACTGTCCCATAAATGTTATATCTTCATTGAATTAACACTATGATCTTGTCAATACTATTTAACAGGCATGCCATACATTTTATTAGCTTAAACTTTGGGCTGAGGTCTCAGCAAAAGTTTGAGAAGACTAAAAAAATTGCATGACAGGTATAGTGTACAACTCCTTGATATTATTATTAGTTCATTGCTAAGAAAAATCTAAGAATGAAAAACCCATTGCTTTTTTGCATTATTGCTGATTATAATTTTTAAAATTCTTGTCTATTGCTAATTCCCAGAGTTAGTAGTTTCATAAAGCTCATGGTTCGCCAAGATCCATCAAGAATTTTCTGTTGTTACACAAGGTTTAAAATTTGGACCAGATATTGGCTGTGGACAAGGACTTGCGGGAATATGTCAAATAGGTACATTCCAGTTGTTGTGCACAAAAGAATTAAAAATTATCTTAATGTCAATATATAGTCGGCTACATGGTACACTAGCATACTGGTCCTTGGTCAACTAGATATATAGCAGGAAACATGGTATATTGATATACCATAACATTTAATCCCATGCTCTTATGTTTACTGCCACCATTTTCAGTGTGGACTCATGAATACCTCAAGTTCAATTTCTGCAATCAGATAAGACTTGCATGCAAAAACTGGATCAAAGGAAAGCATAAGAACATGTAGCCATTAGCATAAGTGCAAAATGTAGACTTTAAATAGCAAATGGTAATCTGAGATAATAAATGTGTTAAAAAAAAAAAAATTGGTTTCTTTCATATATCCAAATGTCGAGAGCATATTTAGATTATTTAACTGTAACTCTATAAATTACATAAGATTCCCTCCAATGCATGGTGCGAGGATGGTCAATGTACATGCTTGTATCCTTGCAGGCAAAGAAATTACTCCTGTGATTAAACAGCAATTATAGCTCATATACAATAGTCTTTATCAACATTGCTATTATTCAAGCATTTTAAGTGCTCCAAAAAACTTGAGTTCTTAAATGCCTTCTTGCAGCATAACTTAGTCATAATCTAATCTTTACCAGAATGCCAAAATACTACATGCTAGTGGTCAACTGTAGATGAACTAAGGATACGTACTAATTTAAGTTTCCGTAGCTCCCATCTGGCAACTCGTGCTCTCCAAGCACACTGCATCGTGATTGCTGCCATCTTTAGCCTGGCATAGTGTGATCGTGCCAAGTGTCGACGGAAATAACTCTGACAAAAAAAAGAGAGAACACTACATACTTTAAGAGGAGCAGCAGAAGGTTTTAGTGTCTTCTTTAACAAGAAAAATAATAATAATACATTAAACAGCAGTGTCCAGGGAAAGACAGTAGTTACAGCTGAAAACTAATAGGACTACACCAATATATCTGATATAATATTGTCTTGGAAATAGGTAAGTTAACATCAACGAAAGTTCATAAGCAACTGAATATCATAGGTTTCATGTTCATAATGCTCCCTGGCTAAATAGATAAAAGTAACATAGTATTTCACACATATTATACATAGAGAATGAACCGACGGTTTTCACTTTTCCACAGACTAAAAGAACAAGGTAGAACATACAAGTTAACATGTACATGTAATACAAATTAGTTCATCTACCTGGATAATTACTGCAGCCCTTGTTTCCTGCCTAAAATGAAGTTCCTTACGAGCAACCATCCCACGTAAACCAGATTGAATGATAACAGATGCAGAACACAAATCAGTGTAGGCTTTCCTTGCAAGGTGCATACGAAAATACATCTGGATTATCAATGATGCAGCTTGCCTCTGCATATTTTGATAATGTTGACGTGCAATTTGTCCTTCAATAAAATTAAAGCATAAATCAATATTTTACCCAAAATAAATTTATTTTGATGGGTGTCAGATGCGCAGCAAACTATAGATGGAGCACAATTTACCTCTGCATGTAGCTTGTATCGATATAGCTGATTTCCGGAGTGAAATGAAATTTTTGCGTGCCAAATATGAACGAAATTTCCTTTGAATTTTCTTGGCTGAGAGTCCTAGAACTTCGTTCCTACGAGCATCTAATTCAGCCATCTGACCAGCACGAAGAAACACCTTGGTTTTGCCTATCTGAAGGTTCACAGATTGAGCATGAATGTGGTCATTTGACTAGGCAACATTCATTTCACTGTTGCTTTTGAGAAACTGACAAACATATGCAGTCTAACCACACATCAACATCATGCAAAAGCACTAATTTATTTGCACTTTTCTATGAGCTTTATAAGTCATGTACAATCTTCGGCTATAGCAGTCAAAGGAAACAAGATGTAGCGTGTAGCCATATATCCTAAGTTCGTTAATCCCAGGTTATTAGTAGTAAGGGTATCTACCCTTATATGCCAAGACAACTCAATTTACCTCTAACGATAGTTGGTTCAATATGGGCATTGCATTTTCACCACTAAAATGTTGGACGGATTGTGGCATCATAGTCATCTAGGTAATGCCAAATCCAGAGGCCCACCACATTACTGCTATTATCCTTGATTAACTTGCTCCCCATATCAATCAAGGTTAACCATAAAAATGCACAATAAATTCCAGCATGTCCCATGCACCACAAGCAATTATGTCCTGGTAACATTGGACATATTCTAACCCAAGATGCATAATAATACAATCCACCATCTACATCTAATCAAGGTTTAAATCTCAATCTGGTGGATATACCAACATGTACTGCCCGGTATAACTGAAAAAATAAATATTGATCTACTGAGCTATATGGTCCAGTAAAGGTTTTTGGTTGGACCAATAAGGATCGGTCAATATCTGTCAGACTGGTATCTGAAATCTAGCTTCCAGTTTGGAACTAAAACATCCCAATGATTAGGCCCACATCAAGAGTTGACATTGGGCTGGTTAGTATATATGACAAAAGTGGCCTATTATTATCACTTAGGCTTAAGGTCCATCCTCTCCTGGTTATTTGTGATGAAAAAAAAAAACTAGTTGTAAAAGCTCAAGATTCTCTGTCATCTACATTTTTAGAGTACATAATACATGATAATGTTAAATTGTTAATAGTATGTTTAATAATTGAGATCTGAAATACTTCAAGTTGATTGCAAGAAAAGCTTCAGCTTTTCTTCATATTAACAATTTGTCAAGAAAATAAACTAAATACCACTCAAATATTTAAGTTCATATCAGATCATATCCAGGAGGATATAGTAGAGATTCACAGCGAAGATTGATTTAAGGGGAAAAATTTTATACATTTGGCAACTTTTGCTCACATCTTCTGATTTCCTGACTAGTTCCAACTGTTGAAAGCAGGTTTCCAATATATAAATGCCAATTTGTATGTTTCAAGAATGCTAAAGGATTTGCTCTATAATAAAATTACATAGATTTTGCTAAACTCGAGCTTAGGTCTCTGAGATATGACTGCTAAATTCACATTGTCAATTATTGAACTAGTGCGCCTACATCTCATCTCCAGGTTACTGATGTAGTAAGCAAAATTTCTCTGGCTCCTTAGAAGAGATACTGTCTATATGCTACAAATTTTCAAGCCATCCACTTTTAGTCATGTCATAGAATTATAGCAGGGAACATCAGATTAAGCACCAGGTGTAAACATAAAACATTGGTGATGCATTACTAGAAAAGAAATATGTGAATGAACGTATAATTAGACGTTCACCAAGTAACGGACAAAGAATGAATGATCCTGCAGAAAATCCTGCTTAGTTCGATGACCAAAAATACAATTGCATGCCTCTTGATGCCAACTGTAAAGTTACCTGAAAGCCTTTCAGATCCACCTTCTCCATCAGTCTCTTAGTAACAGCAGCCTCATCAGAACTTCCATTTGAAAAATGAAATGGAAATGTGCAGCTAATTAGAAGTCTAAATGCATCAATATCAAACTCAAATATCCACAATAATTACCTTTCATCTAACAGTTCAGACGCAAAAATTCCAAAGCGGTCAATAAATTCATCAAATGTGCGTCGTGTTGGGAACCCAGCACAACTTATCCTGATTGCCTCCAATACCCCCTGCATGCCGCATAAAGTACATCATTTGGAATTTACATGTATGACAAAAGAATTTCAGTTTTGTAACTTGCTCCCATTGTGCTTGGGCCAGAATACAAAACGTCCTGACTGGTATTGACAGTTGGACACTATGCCGATTGTTCTGTGATGCCATGCCCTCGTGCTACCATGTCACTATGCTACTACATAGCTTGGTAGATGTTGCACCACAGAAAGCACAGCTGTGCTGCGCAATTCTTGCCAAGAACAAACAACATGCAGAAAATTTGAGAAATGGACAAAAAATTACCCCACAACGAAGCTGCTGAAGCACATTATGGTTCTCGAAAATTGCTGGCTTCAGAAGATTATTTGGTTTAACACAACGAATATAGTGGGGCTGAGTAGCACTTAGGGTTTCCAATAACGTTTGAAGTTGTTGCTGCATAGTCATAGGCACAATAATCAGTAAACAAATGCAGCATAGAAGCATCAGAAATTGCACATCAAGTGAATGAACATTTCACCTTAAATCTTAGACCTATCGATGAGAACTTTGAAGACTTTGATGAGTCCTCAGAAAGAGGTGGGAAGAGATCTGCAACAAAAGTACACCCAGAAGCACCCAAGAGTTCTTGATGCTCAGCAACAACATAATCTTTGTTTTTGTCTAAAAACAATTCTGTCTGATATGTGACCTGATAAAAATAAAAGAAAAAAATGATACCCGAATGTAATTAATCTACAATGAAATACTAAAAGTTGAAGGAAAACCTAAAATCGTTTACATCAAGACTACAAACAGCCCGGTTTGGTCCAGTTTATGGGAATAATAAAACGAACTTATCAAAAAATAATAATAAAACGAACTAGTAAATTACTGTTTGAGAATTATGCTAACAAACCAAATGATTTAACTATAGAAACCAAACAAAAATATTGTGGCCCAGTTCAGTTTCAGATATGGTTTATACTCTATTTATATAACTCAAAATCATGGTGATATAACTCGACTTACAGTATTGATTCTTACAAAATTTCGAATATTGTCATAGAGATGTCATGAAGAGATCAGAAAAGTGTAGACTACAAACAGAGAAGGGACTAAACTTATTAACATGACCATGGTTTTGTACAACAAATTATAAAGTTATATATAATGATGATTTATGCAAGGTTCGCAATACCGTACCGTACCGATATTTCGACCTGGGCTCGGTACCGGTATGGTGTACCGAGCACTGTAGCACTGCTACAGTGCGGACCGGTACCGGACGGTCCGCGTACCGCTGGCCTGTCGGACCGGTACATACCGCCCATACCGGGCGGTACGATTCGGTATGGCAGACACTGGATTTATGTTCCTTTTGATTCCAAATAATAAGCTAATTATTTTCTAAATTTTTCAAATTCCAAATAGAAGCAAACCACCTTTTTTTGAAAGTTCAGGTCAGAGCAAATAGTGAACATTTCAACTTACGTCGCCAGCATAGTGACGGATAGTAAAGTCTGAACGTGAAAATTTGGGCTTGCTGAACCGCTGGTGATTCTTAAAAGTTTGGTACAGCTTCTCTGCAAATGTTTCATGTGTTGACCTTGGCAACATGCTGTAAAAAAGAAAAGAAAACATGCATCAGATGCTGATCTCCAGGCAATATGCTATCAATTAAATTCAAGAATTGGAGTTGTGTTCTCATACATACCAAGCTTCATCTAGGAGAGCAATTATCCCACCAGGTTTCTGAAAATTGTTTGATTAGAAGTTAGAAAATGAAGAGATCCTGGTCATCTGATAACTCCATAAAATCAAAAACTACACTCCCCGTCAAGCTATAAATTATAACAAGAAATAATGCAAGTTCAACGAGGATATCTGGAAACAAATATGGATATATATGTCTTACGAGTCAATACCCATGCACATATAGACCAACAGATGCAAGAATATGTTATACTGTTTTGTCACTTTTACTGAAATTCATTGACATTTCCTAAAATTTTTATTTAAATTTGTGGTTACTAAATAGAAGCAGAACTCATTGACATCTTAAAGAAACCATCTTGGTCAAAATATATATACACATATATTTATATATTAACTATAGGTGTGACAATCAACTAGAACAACTAATTTCCAGTGTGGCTTCAGAAAATCTTCATCAACTAGCACACTCTTCATCACTCAAAACCAATATAAGTAATGATATTGATAAAATGCCAAATTTGGTCTTCTAAAGGAAATGTTGTTGGACCATGGCTCGCCTTACTGGTTCATACTAGTATACCAACTGGTCATTGGTACGATACATACCGAACCATACCGATATATCGACATATGATACGATGGGCATACCGCCAAACTAATTTGTACCGCCCATACTGGTCCCCTATCAGATTGGTACATACTGCCCGTACCGAGGGTATGCAGTAGTACTGTGAACCTTGTGCTGGACTACATGGATTTATCCTGTTTTAACAGAAAGAAGAGGTAACATAGTATGTAATTTCATGCCAGTGTCAATAATTAGATCCTGATTCTGACAGCAACTCATGGATAGGAGTTGCATGACAAGTCACTGAGGACTTAGAACAACAATAACGATGACAAGAAGTTGTGAAGTTAACTATTTGGGATCATGGATCTTTTTTTTCACCATTGACCTCTATGCAACACAATATCTCTAGTTTATAAAAAATCAGTCAAAACTCTATTTTATTATTTCTAATATAGTGTTTTAAGTTTTTTCCTCACTCTCCTCGCACTAGTAATATTTTTTTTCTTGCACCAATAATATTAATTGGCCATAACATCAATAAATTTCCTCTGAATATGTATGTATTGGCTTCTCTCTCATTTTATCCTCTGGTCACCGATTAATGAATTAAAGCATTATTTTTTCTATCATACCTAACAATTTCATGCATCCAGCTCAAAATTATCATCTGAAATATAAAATTTTGCATATGTTATTTGTTAATAGGTGAACACCCGAATCCATAAAGCATGGTTGAGTTGCCTTAAAATTTTTGTTTCTCAATCTAGGAGACACCTAACAATCGCATAAAACCCCTAATGCCCTAAGTTTTAACCATCAAGCTTTTACTCTAATAATAGTATGTTCATCGAACTCCCTTCTGGTTGAATAATATATCCAAGACATTATTTTTCATAGGTTCAATTTTAGTCCTATTTAATCAAAAACAATCTGTCTTTTTTTTGGACAACTTTGACAACTATTTTTTCTTTCTCATTTTTTTCTCTCCTCTCACACACTATTCATGCCAATATTCAATAATCACTAAAACTTCAGTACGGTTGCTATATTACTTACTTGTTCAAGGTCGAACAAAAAAAACCATTAAGTGTAGCTCGATATTTGATTCTTTGGTTTCAAACACAATATAAACCAATAGTCACTAAATATCACAAGATTCCACCAAAAATCAAGCCGTATGTATCTTAAATCACCAACTAACTAGTACATACAGCTTAGTACAATCATTATACCCATCAGTTCTAATAAGTAACTCATTCTAGGCTACTCGCTGCAAATTTTGTACCAAACTAATTCAATCAAGATACCAATAATATAGTTTTGTATTGATTCGGAACGTAGTTTTCCATCTTTGAAACCTTGTGTCAGTCATTAGTTTGATTCATTATTTACTATTTTTTTTGTTGAACTGATAGAAGCATGCTCACTTTGTTTAATTTCCTTAAAATAAGTTTTATCGATTCTCAATCTGATGTGAACAGGTTGACCCTAATTTCAGCTTTTTTATTTCTTTATTTGACCTAGTTTTCCCTCTAATAATCCATTCCTAAACCAGAGTCCTCCGTTATAAAATTAAATAATCATATGATTCACTGTCTACTTGCGCTATAATATCTCTAACATTATCCTTGATCATAAATATAAGTTATATAACTATATAAACTAGCAAAATTTTAGAATTAGCCATAGACATGCTTTATGGCCTTCGAGTCAAACGTGGGTAGGATACATACAGTGAGGGTGCCTTCTGGATGCTCAGCTGATGGACTATTCCTGAACTTTGATGTGCATTTGTCTTCTATTTATTTTCTCACGTATTATTTATATTGATTTCTATTAGCTTTCCAACCTCCAGTTCAACTCTTAATTATCACAATTATTCAGATTACCATTATTGATGCATCATAACATATCTTCTGGGCAGAAAAGCACTTGTATCATATGATTATGGGCCTAGAGGTACTACATTGTGCTGTAAAAATATAATCCTTAACAAAGATTAATTGTAGCTAACAGATGCCAATTGAAAATAAACTTAACAATAAATTCTCTTACATGATAAGAGTCCACAAATCCTTGAAGAACTTTTAAGATTATAATAACTGCTTTGTTAGAAGTGGTTCATGCTCCTTTGATATGTAAATGAGTTTAATCTTTGAATCCATGTAATTTTAAAAGGCATGACAGTAGAATTTATAGGCAACCAGAAAATTGAGCAACATGTCTGAGAAAGTAGCATGGTAGAAACTTGTAAGTAGGCTATAATAATACAAGCTTGATGCGGGCAATTGCACATATGACAGGGGAATTAAGTTCCGGCATTAACAGGCAGGTACTACAATTATACTGTAGAGAAAATAAAATCACTCTAATAGTGTGTCGCAAATTCCCAAAGAATTGCACAACGAACATTTTACTTTCGAAATTTGTACAGCCAGTTCATAGTTTTAAAGTTGATTTATCTAGCTATTTAGGAGTAGTAAAGATGATTCTTCAAAAAAAATTGGCAATTGATTATTTGGGGAAAATAGTTAAAATGACAGACCAAAAGAATATAAAAAATATAAGCAACACAAATTTAATGAACGCAAATTTCAATACTGAATAATAAATTACAATAAACATTTAATGACTTGTTAACTTGCAGGTCTATGGGAATGCTCATCTATTGATGGCAGTCAATGTAAAAGCAATTTTAAATTACAAATAACCAGGGTAAACCTATAAACAACCTTTTCAATAAGATCCAGAATGTCCTGGTTGTCAATAAATTCAATATAACTCCAGTCAATTTCTTCTTTCGTATATTCCTCCTGTTCCATCTTAAAAACATGCTGTTGCAAGAAGCAAAAAATAAATCAGAAATCATCTGGTGCATATAAATTAATTGTCTTCCCAACATAGTATGTTTAGGAACTACTATGCAAATGGAAGATAATTTCCATATCCAAACCTGATTAAAATGCTGCTGCAGTTTTTCATTAGTAAGATTGATACAAAATTGCTCAAAGCTGCAAGTGATGCATACGTTAGAATTTAAAGCATGACTGTTAAGATCAGAGATTAAGGAATCCAGTAAAATGATTAGCTAGTTACAGTTTAAACAAGAACAGCCATATATTAGTAAAAGGCATCAAACAGTACAACTGATATGCATAAAAGATAAGAAAAAATCAATGGTAAGCATGGGAAGAGAACAAGTTGCTTAAAGTAACCACTAACCCATTACATCTGTCAGATAACCTTATAAAACTTACTGCTACACTCATTTCAATGTTTGTGCATACCAAGCTCAAGCATTTCTAGATTTATGGTTCTCGTCAACAACCTAGTATCAAGTGCTTCTGCCAAAGAGAGGATAATATGTTCTATATTTTCCCTTCTCTTTTGTTGTAGGGGTTGAATTTCTTAAACTAGATATCAGATCAAATGGGGTACCACAGATTCCCCATCTAAAATCCTCATCAGAGAAAAGGAAGTTGGACTGATTCAAGGGTTGGAGGTCACTCCTTATCTTTCAAAATAACTATCCTTTCAAACATAATGCATGTGAGAATCCTTGAAGCAAGGATTAACATTTGGGGTATCGGACCCATGGTGGTCCATGATCAGACTTGTATGGGTTTGGTCAGTGCTGGCATACCACCACATAATATGCCAGCATGTACCGAAAAGAGTGAACCAAAATGAGCAACCTACGCCCAGAGTCTATAGGAAAACAGATCAGACAACCTGAAAAGGGATAATTTGCTTCTAGAATAACTCCTGAACTAGTAAATACTGGATGTTACCAACCAGCCCAAGCAAAAATAGAATTTCTTGTCTTGAAGACCCACGGAGTCATGAAATTAATTTTGGCACACTACAAGATGTTCTATTTTTTCCATAAAAAATGTGTTTACTCAAGAACTCTAAAAGATTTAAATCATATATAGGAAGATTGTTTACAAAAAAAAAACAAATTCACATTCAAATAAATAAGAATTACACAAGAACCAAAATAGTCTTTTAGTAAACTACTTTATCCTATTACCTAAAATTTATATTGTCAACCAATTTGACTTAAACATATATGGCCCTACCAATTGGAGCCAGGCCACTCCTGGAATCTAATTGGGAATCTTTTATCAAGAAATTTGAAATCAAGTTACATAGAAAAGCCAAATTTCATTTATGGGAGTAAGATTAATAGTGTAAACTCAATGCCTCATCAACTGCACTCTGAATTAATGGGCAAAAGGAAGAACTTTAACCTATTTCACAGTGTCTCTTGGTGGTGGGTACTTGTTTTGCTATATCTTGGCTCTTTTGGTATATGGAAATTGGTCCTTGCATTCATGTTTAGCAAGATTCATAGCTCAAACAACATCATTTTCCTCTTACTTCAGAGTTATCCACCCATTCAAAACATGCTCCAAGCCCCAACTTTATAGTTTTCTGTTGTATCATTTTATCACCCCAACTTTAGAGTTTTCTGTTGTATCATTTTATCACTTCTCTAACTCACAATGCCCCCTCTGAGTCTCTGGGAAGTGAATCAGTAGCCAATTTGTCTTCTAAAAGCAGAAGTTTTTATGCGGCTTGCCCTAAAAAGAAGAATTTACATCAACTAGTTATTGCAAACAAAAGATGGATTTGGGACGCATCTTATTCTTTGTGCTCTTATCATGTTGAGCAAGGTCAATTTCATGTACTGGTCCGGGCTCGAAACGGTACTTTATCAGTCCATATCGTGTACTAGTGTCATTATGTCAGTACATATCAAATTTTGACAAAAAGCCTAATAAGGCTGAAAAATACAAAAAAAAAGTAAACTGCTTGGTACAGACCCTGTACCACTCCATCTCGGGTGGTACCGACCCTGTATCAGTGTACCATCTGTTTACATTCAGTGTCCCAATGAACTATCGGTGCCGGTCAGTACCATCCTGGTACCGAACATGAATCAAGCGGTGCAGATGTACATCCGGTGTATCATCAGTTTACATTCGTCTGTGTAACCTGTCGAGCCAGTAAATACCACCCATTCGAACCATACCGGACCATATTTAACGGTATTGCAAATCTTAATGTTGAGAATATGAGCCACATCTAAATAGGCATAATGTGGTTTCAGAGATGCGGAAATTAATAATTTCTGTGCTCTAGGATCTTGCAAATCTTTACGATATCTGTGGGGAGTCAACAAATAGTTCTCTGTGTTGTCCTCAACATAAAATTTGGGATGGATGCTGTAAAGATAATAAATAGTAAAAAATATTTCATGATCTTTATACCAAATTACCAATCGTGAGGAACTTCTCAAAAATGTTGTGTGGTGATTCTTTTCTTGGAAGATTAATTGCCTAAAAGAGGACAGCTAAATGTGATTTTTCTTTTTGGCTTGGACACTGTTGTACTGATCACTGAACCATTTATTGGTTCCCATTCTTCTTCTCCCTTCTTTGCATTTATGCTCTTTCATTCTCTTAATGAAATGAATATGGGTAGGCCTAAATAATAACCAGATGAAAGATGGTCTGGAATCTGGATATTTATGGGTGTAAAGAAATTTGAAAAATGGCACAACTAAATATGCTTAAGATGATAGATTTAGATAAAGCATATCCCATTATCTGAAGGAAGCAAGAACTGTCAATCCACTAATTTCTAGAAAACTGAACTAGTTTCATGCACTTGGCTGATTATTTTTTTTCTCTTGAAGGTTCCAGTACCTGAATCTTTTGTTTCTTGGAAGTTCAGTATCTTCAAAAGGTGATTAAATTGCTCAAGAGGATCTTTAGGCACCCACATATACCAGTACAATACAAGTAAAATACAGTGTCAATGTACAATACAGTCAGCCATGTCAGCGGTACAGAAGAAACCCTCGCCACAGAAAATACGAAAGAGACAGAATTTAGATCCAATATTGGACTCAAAAACAGAAGCCAGTGCACAAGGCAGAGCCTTGTGCTGGTTCCAGAGAGAGTCAATGTACCCTAAATCCTAAATCCTAAACCTTAAACTTAACTCTCCTTCGGAGACTCAATGAGCACCTTTCATACACTGAGGTGATTGGCACGACTGAGAGTAGAGAGTGGTTAAAGTCCCACTATCTACATAATTGCTGTCATGTAAGATAAGAGTCAAACCTAATGCCACTGTCACTGTTCGAAAGGCAGAAACAGTCTGAAAATGCCTGTTGATGTACTCTATCATGGAGACTAGGATAAGTGGGTGATGGTCTAGTTCACTAATGGCGAAGCCTCTATTAGCCATTTAAAGCATTCAGAGAATCAATCCAACCTTAGCCAAACTCAGTGCACCAGTTGGATTTAAATGCATCCTGAATAGGACATGACGGATCATGACCAAAACTGGCTGATGAAATTTCCAGTATATGTGTTTGTCTAGATGCAGATTGATACACACCGAAATGCTGGTTTCTTTTGATCTTGCAATCACTGTGCAGCAATCTTACAAAATATGGTTCAGTATTTTGTTATATCCAACTTTTGTGCTGCAAATCCTTCTAGCAAAAATAGAACTTCAATGTATTTGCCTAAAAAAGTATCTAAAACAAAATGTCTGCATGAACGGCATAATAAATAGCAGCGAGATGCCAGCCTGCCAGATAACTTTTCTTCATAAAGTTCCATGCTAAGAGAAAGCAACACATGAAATTGGTGAGCGAGTACCACACTCCAAATTCTGGCAAAACAAGGAAACTCCAAAGAGGTCTAAGAACGAGAGGCAGAAGATATTTCTATAGCAATTCTACTTTGTCAAACCAACAAAATATTATCCAAACTCTCCCTGAAGCTTATTTCCAATTACAAGTAGACTTCATGGTAAATTACATAAATTTTACTTGAAACCTCTTAAGATTAAGTGTAGGATATTTAAAACTTAATCCAAGACATCAAACACAGACCACACCTACAGCATATAATATACTCCATCTTTGATGTAGTTCTGTTAGAAAAAATCAAGTTGAACTGGACTCAGCTTAGCAATGATCATGCAAGAAAACACATATCTGCACCCCAGATTTGATGCAAATCATGCAAATATTTTGACATCTTCCATGATGAATACAAAAGCGTACCAGTGAAGCACCTGTTTGTCTTGAAACTTTCAAAGCCATAAATATCCAGCACTCCAATCAAAAACTTTGAGTCAGGATCTTGACCAATCGAACAGTTAATCCTGTTCACCAGCCTGCATAACACAAGAAAAGCACTAAATAGTATAGCAAGTAGGATGACTACTTAAAAAAGAACAACCAGATTGAACAAGATCCAGTACTGGTAAGCATCCATGTTAACAATTTCATTTTTCAAAGCTCATTTGCAATTCAGTATCACTGACCAGTCAAACAACCGTGAGTAAACAACTTTTGCCAAAGCATCACGGCTAAGAGCCGCAGCTTCTGGATTTAGATTTTTGGTAATGTTCTCACCACGAGTTACAATAATGCGCTTACATAATGAATCCTCAAGAGCCTTTTCATTGCACCTACAAGAAAATGTGTTGCATTTGTTGTATTTGTTTTTGCTAAAGATATTTTTGTAGTATGATAGTAAAATGAATAGAACTTGGGATAAGAAATGGGTTTACATGAAAAGCTCTGCAGCAGTTCTAAGATGGTACCAAGACTTTTCATCTTTGGGTACAGATGAATCTTCTTCTTCTCCTTCTGCAAATTCAACATTTCCTAGATGAAGGATAGCTGCCACTACTCTGAAAATTGCATCCTGAATAAAGCAGACATTGCAAAAGATGAACAAAACACCTACATAAATATTTATTGAAGGATGTAAAATCTTTGTGAAGAGAACAAGAAAAAGAAGTACCTGTTCATCAGAGCTGATTCCAACAACATCCATTGCTCTTCTAGTTGCCAAATATTCCTCGGACTCATCTAACCCGTCAATCTCATAGCAGTTAGACTGATTTAGGTAGTGAAATGTTCTAGGATTTCCCACTTTATATCTTTCAATGTCCTGTTTAAACATTGGCGACAGTGAAGTCAAATTTGGCTAACCACTCAAAACCATGATATCACAATAAATACCGATCCAAGCAACCATAATATAACACCATTTTTCCCTTCCTTTTGCTGCTTACTCTCTGTCTTCTGCTCTCTTACTATTTATATTTCCTTTTTCTTAATCTTGAGAGCGGAAACACTTTAAGGTAAAGTGGTTAATACTTAATAGAATCTTGGACGTGCAGTCACTATAGCAGAATAAGAATCTTTAAGAGATTCAAGGGGCAGTGTCAACCTGAATTGAGTACTGTTTTGTAGGACATCAAAAAGTGTAGGGACAATTACCTGAAAGCAATGTCATCACAGAATATCTATGCTCAAGTTAGATGTTGCTGAACATACCCCATCCTTCTTACATCAAATGGATAATTTGATGTATGAGAACTTTCGTGGTGTTACAAGATTGCCGTCCAGAGGCTAATAAGGTAGGCTTCAATCTCAATCACTCAAAATACTAGTAGCTTAAATTCATTCCAACAGCAGAAAATAACATAGAATAGAAATGAAGAGAATAATGGAAGATTATAGTAGTGAAATGAAAAACATAAACCATAAAGGAAGAAAGAGAGATACAGCTTGCAGATCAGGAGCCCAACCATGAGCAAATCCTGAATAGTTGGGACTTAGAGCTTCTTGTTGTTGGCTGGAAGATAAGGATATTAATTCTTCCCAAGATAATCAAATGATTGCTCAGTATTGGACTGAACCCATCTTTACAGCAATTTTAGCCTACACTTCTAATCTCGTCATGCTTCTAAATAACGGAAAATTAACCCAAGAGAATATGAAGAAACTCAGTTAACAATATAATATATATGGCCAAAACGCAACACAGTTAAGAATGAGACGATGTCCAGTCAATAGCATTATGAGGGCCACTCCTTGCATTTTTGATATCATTCCCGCTGATCAATTCCCTGAGAGCAGGTATTACAGTGTGTTTCTTATGTGGTGGAAGTCCTCACTCAGACTTATTCATTCAATCGACCAATTACAGTAGCATACAAAAGTTATACAGCAGCTCATCCGTCATTTCATGTCTATTAAAACAATTTATAGTGACTGGCAGAATACAAGGATATTAAAGCTATTTTATTATCTAAGAATTTCCAAGTTCAGCTGAATCTTACTCTAAAAAATACCAAACACCCCTTTCTATAAATATCAGATTCATATCCTTTTAGTGGAGCATTAAAACTTCATCCTGTGGTTGTTGCTTCTAGGCAACCATGTGTCTATCATTGTATTCCTACAATATTTGACTGTGTAATCGGGAGACTTAGCCAGTGATAACAGGTTTTCACTTTAAATAATAAGTTCTATCACCTCACATTAATCCTAGTTGGATGGCTTTGTTTACCTACAAGACTAGCTTTATCTTCAGCACATTATGCTTGGACCAGCACACACTAGATGGCGTTTACTGGTCCAAGCTTGAACCACATGTGGATGAGGGCTTTTTGCCTGATCCAGTTCAGTAAGTAGGTTGCCAGCTGGGCTTACCGCTTGGGTTTTTTTGTCCCTTACCAGGCCTGGACTAAGTAATATGCCCACCTCTGATTCAAAATTAATTCATTTTAGTTTTGACAGTTGTTGCTGTCTTTTAAATACCTCTCTCTCTCTCTCTACCCTGCTTTGACTTGTGCCACTTGCTGTCTCACGACGCCTGCCCGGTACTTCTCCTCCCTCCCCCCACCTCCTCTGTCTCTGCCTCCTCTTCCTCCTTTCATTCTCCTCCTCTCCCCTTCATGGTGTCAATTGGAATGTCGATGTACCATGTGTTATCGTACCGGACCTGAACTGGTCAAGCCAAGCAACAATGCATACCAGACCTATACCGTCCTGGCCAGGGACCGATATGGGTCCTACATTGAGATTTAAATCCATGGTCAGATTACCAATTAATTAGAACCCCTCTCACTATCAATTCACCGTGTAAAACAGATTTCGGGGAAAGAACTCAAGCAAAATAATTTCAATGGGCCATACTATTTAATTCGAGCATAACAATAGTTTCTTTGAGTAAAATGTACGAGGAAGGTAGTGACTAACAACCACCTAAAACAGAGAAAATACCTCTGATGGAGCCGCACATATCATGTAAAAGCAGTGGTAGTTTCTCTCAGGATCAGATATTTGACAGACACGAGATCTTTCAAGCAGGTATGTTCTAACAGCACCTCCTGTAATCCTCCCTTTCAGATCGAACTGTATCTCGACAAACTTGCCAAAACGACTGGCATATGTGGGAACATCGGGAATATCAAGTCAATTAAAGAAAAAAATAGAATCCTTCCAGATGGAAGAAGGAGAAACATTGATGAATTACCTTGAATTATTGTTCCGGACTGTCTTTGCATTACCAAATGCTTCAAGCACAGGATTGGACTGGATGAAAGAACTAAGATTAAAAAAATAGCGGAACAGCATTTTGTCCAGTAAAAATAAAAAATGGTGATCTACAAAGTCACACATTCCAAAAACAAAAGGCATAAACTAATGGGTGATTATCAGACCTCCAAAATTTGTTGCTCCACGGACCGCCCTTCAGTTGCAGCCTTACCTCCCATATAAGCAAGAAAGCGCATAAGCATTTTGGTACTTTCTGTTTTTCCAGCCCCACTTTCTCCACTGACTAAAATTGACTGGCTTGTTTCATCAATCATCATACGTCTGCACATTTGCAGAAAAACAAAAGTAATGTTATGAATACTCAAATAGGTGATACATTCTTTAGAATGCTTAATTTAAGAATATTACCTATATGCAGCATCAGCAATAGCAAAAGGATGTGGAGCTAATTCGCCAAAGTCTGCCCCTTTATACTCTTCCATCATGTGGCTGTTATAAAGATGAGGCAGTCTTTGAAAAGGGTTGACAGCAATCAGTATATTCCCGGTGTATGTCTGACAGCATGTTTAATCCATTAGCAGTGTATTAGAAGATGCAATAACTAAACAATTAGGACCTCCGCCAACTTAAGTCCAAACAAATCAGATGGCAGATAAGGCCTTAAATGACACACATCCTTAACTGATTCCAACTTACTGAAAGATTAAGGGCCTCATGCTAGAAAACTTGTAAATGTATTAAATAGTCAATGTCCACTTACGTATATTTCATTCATCATAAATCTTGATCGTAGGTTATGCAAAACTCCTGGTTCATGCAGATAAGATAACTTTGTCATGTCATCCACACCACAAGCCGGTGCTTCGGTATCCTTTGGATGCACATTCATCACCTTAGCTGTAACCTGCAGTGAAGAACAGAAATCCCAATAGGACATGGTTTCACATGTTTAAGGTTCTAGCACTCATTAACAAGTGCATGCTATTTGTGAGAAACAAGACAAGCCAATTGAAAAGAATTCTCATAACGGAAGTTGAAATATATTATGACAAGCATATTTCATGAACACAGATCAGCTCTACAGCACAAGATGCAGCCAGGTCAAGAATTCAGTTCTGTACATTCATCCAAAAAGTGTGGAATCAGACAAATTTTTAGGCCATGAGCACTCACCACTTTTTCATCAGTACAGCAGATGTTGACCTCATCTCCATTGACCTCCAGGACCTCCCCATCAATCCAAGCCACATCAGAATCCTCGGTCCAGACATGTGATCCCACTGCGAGGTGGATTTGATTGGCCTGTCATGCAACAAGAAAAAGATAACTAGACCATGATTAGTGATGCAAATCAGATAACTAGATAAATCTGCAGGCGTAGTAGGTAGTCATATCAAAATGGCATTCATCAATGATCAGGTTCACAAAGATCCGATCCCTTCAGCTGATTGAAAAGAACAAAATCTTCGACAAATTAACCAATTGAAAAACACGTCTCTGAAATACACCAGAAGACAAAAGGAAATAACATGTTTGTCTCCTTGAATTAATCGAAAAACAATCATTCGTTTTATGTTTATCACATTTCCTGCTCCAAGAAGTCAATGAGATGGTTACACGAAAGACATATATCCGTTTCTTGCAGGATTCCACGATCATTTACTCGTTTAATTCACAAAACTCGGAGTCATTCCTAAATGCATTAAAGTTTTATTGATTCGCCCATTCCAGATTCCACATATCACAAGACAATAAGAGTCGCGAACGTACCATTGCGCGCACAAGAATCAAGTCGGCACCCCAATTTCTTGATTCGCCCTCAGCCAGCAACCATCAAGAATCCCCAATCAAAACCAAGAAGGAACGCCTAGAACAACCAAAGCAAGATCCCAAATGTCAAAAAGAAGATCCAAGATTTCCAAGAAAAGTCAAATCCTTCTTCGTCCGGCCATTCAGATTCCCTCTTTCTCAACCGCACCTTCAAGATCGAACTCGCAACGATCCGATCAGGGCATAAAACGGCTCCCTCTCGCCCTTCATCTCCCTCCGTCACCACCCCTTCGACCTCGCTTCCTGGTGCACCTGAGCTGGCAAGGGATGGGGGCTTCTCCTCCGAGATTAGAGTGACAAGATCGTTTCCGCAACCGCCACCTCGATCGCCGCCCTCACGACTCCTTTCGGCCCCTTCTTGCTCAGGCGAAGCCCTCCCGTTTTCCGCCTCGATTTCCTCTCTCACCTGTCCTCTGTTTTGGCTTCGGCGTTTGCTTTGTCGCAAGGAATGGTTGTTATTTATATATATATATTTATATATAGTAATCATAAATAACAATTTACTATGGAAACATGTTATTAATTGATTTCCTTTTATGCCCTCAACATTAGCTAAACTTCCGAGAGTTGCCCTCCTATTTTTCCTTTTTATATTTAGGATTATTTTATAGGACAAGTTTCATAACTATTACCAGTCATAAGAAGTTACTGTATTTTCCTTTTAACAACATTTAAATTTAATAAATTTCATAAAATCAACAAACCTGCATAAATATTCTTTCAAATAAATTTGTACTTCTCATTATTTTTTTCATTACTTTTAATAGATTTGGTTTTTAAGTACACCACCAATAAGTCATAATGTCAACTTTTTTAATTATAAAAATAATTAATTATACTACTTTTACTAATTATTTTATTAATGTGTGAAAATTATATTTATGCAATAGTAATGAAATACATGAGATAAGTATTAATGATAATAATAAAACATAATATTATAAATATTTCGGATCGACTATATGGATTTTTTTCTCATTATTTAATTATGTAAAAGATAACAACTCGGGTTATTAAGAGAAAATTATTATTTGTTATTTATGGTAAAATATTTTTAAATCTTGACATTTTTTTTTCCTATGATCATAAGAGAAGTATATAAATTATATGTAATGTTTGAAGGATTAGTTATGCAAAATCAAATAATAACTTATCCTTTTTCTTACAAAAGAAAATTTAATATTTTATATAAATTAATGTCTTTGTTTTGCAAATCAACCAATAGTTTGATTTTTCTGAAACTTACTGATGTTAACAACTTCTGAAAATATACAAAAATATATATATATTTCTTTTCTTGCTAATCAATATCTAAAATTCACTTAAAATATGTTCATAAATATATATATATATATATATATAATTTATATTTATCATTGCTATTTCATAAATATATATATAATTTATATTTATGAGCTTCTTGAGTCATCATAGGGTATTATTGTGGACCTCAAAATGTACATATGATAATATTTTTCGAACCTTAGCTCTCAAACTCTCGAATGATATCTAAGTCTATATTGTATCTGTGCATACTAAATATGTTCTCATCACTGCTTAATTTAAGTTAATTTTGAAGCAATAGATATATATATATATATATATATATATATATATATATATATATATATTGTATATTCTATATAAAAGCCATTTTGTTGTGAGCTCATTCATTCTATGGTCTTTATGTTGATCACCTTTCCCTCCACATGCACCAACTCCCAAGTTTGAAACATTCATAAGTTGATGTCACCAACCATGCAATGCAACTCTCGTTTATAGGATGGACATGGTCAACTCCTCTCTTCCGTGCCAAGCTCCCACCCTACAGCCCAATATAAAGTCAAACAAACACCACCTCCCGATCAAGTCCTCCAAGATTAAGATCTATATTTCTTTAACACCAATTTACCTTCTCCGCCCTCGTCAAACCCCATGTTTACAAGCAATCAGACGATTATTTCGCATCGAAGCTGCCTCGGTCATATCAATCTCATTAACAATTATTTGTCAACAGAACTTAAGTTAATGATGGATAGAATCACGGTTAAATAAACTTCATTCTGATAATAATGAAAAATATTAGTGATTTTTTGAAATATTTTATGACTATCAAGATTATCTATCGGTAATCGTCAAATACGTATACATTAGATTTGATAGGCATTATTATTTATGAATACATACTATTCTTCTTCTTCTTCTTCTCCGCAGACATTACATAGTGCATGTATATTAGAGTTGATATAATTTGTATCACCTAACACAACCCTTTTCTTTTTTATTTTTTCTAATATGTATGCTTTCATCATCTCTTGTAAATACAGATTGAGAAGAATATGAAGAATGAAAATATATGAAGGAGAAATAAGATTAGCATTCATAGTTTTGGCATCTCTAACTAAGCCTATGGTGTTCATCATATTTTACATCGAGCGATTACATAGCATGCGAAATGGACAAAGATTTAATGATTTTAATGGCCCAATGCTATTATTAAGATATGCTAAAAAGCCCATTAAAATTGCTTCCATGTTTTTTTTTTGTTTTCTTAATTTTCTTCTCCAAATTCTCTTTCACAACACATATTCTAATTCACTACTTAAAAACGATTGATGTTAAGTAGACTAATATTATTTCACCTGATTATTTTGACACCAAATCAAGTTAATATGATTGATTTGTACTGCCTAAAATATATAAGAATCGACAACAATAATTCATTCTTACACAGCTTTTTTTTTCGAGTACAAATAATTTTTTTTTTCTTTGGATGAATGCCTTCAGAAAGGATAAGTTTGGTAATGAAGTTGGGGTTTCATTTTGGAGTTTATACACAATTTATCTATCCTTCTCGATCTTGGTAAATAATGTTTTTGTCTTTAAATTATTGGTTATATTATTATTATTATTATTATTATTATTATTATTATTATTATTATTATTATTATTATTATTATTATTATTATTATTATTATTGCTCCAAATAATAATAAATAATTTAATAAGTTATAAATCATTAATATCATTAATTATTTTAATAAGATATAATAAAATAAAGGTTATAGATATCATTAATTAGTGTAATAATGATAATACATATATATATATATACAAATTTAATTTTTATATTATAAAAAGTTATAACTTATTACACTAATTAATGATATTAAGTTTCTTAATGAAGTTGGGGTTTCATTTTGGAGTTTATACACATTTATCTATCCTTCTCGAAAAATATTTTTTTATCTTTAAATTATTGGTTATATATTATTATTATTGTTCCTCCAAATAATAAGATATAATTTTAATAAGTTCTAAATTATTAATACAATTAGTAATAAGATAAAAGTTATTAATATCATTAATTATTGTAATAATTATAATGTATATAATTTTAATTATTATATTATAAAAAAGTTAGGTAATTTGGAATAATAAGGGAGAAATCATTCAAGGATTGAAGAGATCAAAAGAGGAACAACTTTACAATATCTTGATACAATCTATTGTGAAGCATATCATAATGTAGTCTATAGCAAAGACTTGATGAGGGTAATGTAATAACCAGTCTTGTATTTTTTGGGAGCCCTAAGATTCCAATCACTTTACTCCAATTTGTTGGATGGGAGATTAATATTTCCATTAAAAAAAATTCACTATAAGCAGCTAAAATGTTTCTATCTGACTTCATAATTAAGGAATCATTTGCTATCATGAGTATGAACATAGCTAGGCAAGTGAGATCACAAAACACAAGAAGATAGAATCCTGAGAAATGATTTGAATGATCAAGCCAACAAAAACATCATTAACATAGTCATGATCCATCTGATCTCTCCCTCTTCTCTCACTGTCAGGAGCATAGTTTTCATGTGGGCCTCATGCAATTAATGATAGATATGAAGAGCAGATTCTTTTAGTTCCTATCATGGATTTTGTGCAAATCACACACATCAGATGCCAAGACAAAGAAAGGGGAGAGAAGAACCCAATATCATGATAAAGGGTGGCTTATCTCTCAACCCTCTTCTAGATTATGTTCTGCTGACTAAAATCTACAATTCATGAGAGGAAATTGGCTTCTTCTCCCTCAGAGTCACTACCTCAAATGAACTCCTCAAAACACTGATACAACAAGCAGCAACTTGGAAGTTTCTACAGGTAGTAAAGAGAATGAGAATGAAATATGATCTATGTTGTGCCACATAACACCCAAAGAGTAGGATTCTAACCACACAATCTGAGCCCACATTGGTGTGTTTCTGCTCTGTGCATATAGATGGAAAGATGAGTAGAGTGACTTTGACATCATTGTTCCTGTGGTTTCCAATACATTTTTGCTCTATGCAATATTCATGGTTAACCAATTATCCAAGTATAATTTCTAATCAGTAATTCAGCTTAATTCTTTATCTTCAAAAAATTTAGCCGACTTTATAGTTCTTCATACAATTCTTTATCGCTTTACCGCCCGAGCGATTGATCATAATTTTCTTATTCGCAAGTGTAAAATTACATAAATTTTAAATCTCGTATCGGTGGAAACTTCATGAAATGAACCACTCATTTTCACCGATTGCATGCAAATAGAAAGTCGATAAAAAGGACCACTCGAGATTGATTCAATTTTGTCAATCATTCCTCCTCCTTTTGTTGACTAAATATTTGATGTGGAATGTTACCAACTACAAACCATATCATCATACATACCCTCCTCTTGACGGTTCTATCTACAAATGACAGCCACGAAGGCTGCTCCTTGTGTTCTTTAGGTATCATTCAGATAGATATTACAAGTGACTCATCTCTCTCCAACTATTGTCTCTGATATCTCTCGCTCGAGCTGCAATACTTGAACATACTAATGATTACCACTTTCCTAATGTTGATCTAATCATTAAAAAGTACCTCAAACTTCATCTGAAGCCAAATAGCACAAGGATTGCGAAGGCTCAATGAGTGAGGTTCACATACCCTCTTCCTAGAGTGGAACCACATCTAAGACATTACTTCTCTGTGCCCCCACAGCACATTAATGAAGACTGCAAGAATCCACAACCCTCAAGCTTTTTTGAGGTCATAAAATACTATTTGTTATCACTATAGTATTTTGAGGAGTCAACATGACAACTTGAAAGAAGAAGAAGAAGAGATCCATCCAGTAAGCAAAGCTGGGGCCATGGAGGATGGCTCTACTCGATCTCATGGACTACATAGAATAAGAGCTCAACTGCCCATACTGCCATGCCTTTTGACATCAACACCACAAGAAGGATTAGAAAAACACGGTTTCATGCACATGCTAACTCAACAACACCAAGCTCTCGTTCTCAAACCAAGGAGTGGGTTTCACCATCAAAGGACAGGCATGCATGCCAATCCTCACAGTGAGTGCCATTGTCACCACAGGATCTCATGTGTTGTTTTTCAAAGCTTCCACATGCAGACTCTTCACTGATTGCGGTTGCTACTCATCAAGCAACTGGCTTTCTCGCAGATCCTCCGTTTGGACAGGTGCAGATCACTGTTTCCCTTGAGATCAAAGACTATGCCATACTGTGTTACATCAAGTTCATGAACCTGCATTTGGGATGGCAGAGATAATAAATGATGAGCATCATCAGTGTCTGCAGCCACTTGTAACTCTTCTTCTGCTCAGCACGTAAGGAACTTTTAAGAGTGCGACCTGGAAGAGAAGAGTCTTGCTCTTGGCTTTATAGGATGAGCAGGCGGATAAACTTGAATCTGAGGTGGTAGAACAAGAGCAAGGCTGCAGGTAGAGGCCAACAGTGTGGTTATGGGTTGCGGGGAATGGCCATCTGGGGATGATGGAAGGCCATCTGCCATTGGAGGCCGTGTGGGGCACCTATCCAAGATGAGCCCGTGCCATCCTGAACTGGACCCACCGGTTGTCAGTGTACTTCTCTCTGTGCTTTCCTCTGTCACCATACCAGATTGGAAGAGGCTGCACTGTAGCAGCAGCAGTGACATGGACGTCACGGTCAACAGGAAGGGCAGAATATTTGCTGCAATCCTACTCTTTTTGCTCAGGATAAAGAATTCTGCAAGACACACTCGTGTTCTTTAGCTTTCTATTCTTTCTTTTGATGAGACAGACGTGCAGTTAGCACAAGAGAAGAAGGGAAGAAGAAATAACGCACCTGAAGCAGGTTTTTGACAGATTTCTTTCAGCAATGCTGAATGCTCGAAGACTCCATATATAAGTATCATTCATCCTTCTTTGATGTAAAGCATAGCGGTAAACCTTCCATGATCTTGTTGCGTTTAGGGAGTTGGAGCTCAAGCTTTCGGAGTGGGTATGTCTTTTTTTGTCATCCTATCCCCAATCACCTTGTGAGACTTCTGTGCTGACACTTTGTTGAGCTCATCTCTGAGTCAGCAGGATTGACTTTCTACGATTTCAACAAGACTTGGATAATATCCATTTGCTGCACACTTTTTCTGTACCTGAATATGATCATAACTGGGCAAATATGCAATCCTTTCTTTGAACTCAACTCAGGTCTCCTTGCCACTTTTGAGTTGCAAAGAGGAGATGGAAACTTGGAACAATCAAAGGCAAGTTCTTAGCTTTGAATTGGATGCTTAGTCTTTTGATGCCTCTTACTTACCGGAAACACGATATTGTAGACTGAGGATTTGTACTTCAACCAAAAACATTCCACACCTATGTTTCAAAAGCTGCACATGGAATGTTGTTTTAAGGAAAGAGACCTTCAGCCCTAATTATTTTCTTTGGGTTGAAGTCAAACCTGTTCATGTGGGAGTGAGAAAATTGCCCTACAACTAATACATTTCACTCTGTTTCAAAAGCTGCACATGGAATGTTGTTGTAAGAAAAAGACTCCATCTCAATTATAGCCTTCTTAGTAGAAAGTAAAATACAAATAATAGAAGAAAAAGAAAATGAAACAAGCAATTTTTTCCTTCAGTAAAGATACATAGAGAAACAAGATAAACTAAGATATCAAATTGTCATAATGTAGCACTTTTAGAGCTCATTGCATAACTCAGTCATGTTAAATAAAGGTGCAGATGGCATACATGAACAGGAAAATAAAACTTATCTTGACCTGATAAGGCTAATTGTTCTAGAACTTTGGGTGAACCCAATAAAGCTCAAGGTTGTCCATGGTATGGAAGTGACTTCAATGATTTCTTGTCAAGTGCAATGAATTAAGCTTGAACAGTTAGCAGCCGACTTAATGCAGAAAGAACAGAGTTGCAAGTAAGCATTCCAGTAATAATGATATAAAGTAAGATGAGAGAGCACAGGAAACTTAACCTAGAGATCCTGGCACAATAGAGATGTCATGGGCTGTCAGTAGGGAAAAATAAATGAAACTATGATAGGAAGCAGGTCAAGCTCATTACCCAGTCATAGTCACTGTTGAAAGATACTGGCAGAATGATAGATTGACTCTGCTATCATGCTGACGATACATAAAGCGATTGATCAAACAGCCACTGCTTCCTAATGATTGCATCTAAGTGAATATTATTTCTAATGTTAAAGGATCTGAACAACTTTCAACACTTTCAGCAAACAGGTGATTTCCCTGTTAGATTGCTGGCCTGGGGATTTTAGTGTATGTCCTCTCTAGAAAGTAGTCCAAAGTATACAAACTTCACCGAAGAGATCACAATGCCCGCAAGTGTTTGTGTATTCCCATATTTACTAGGCAAATCTTGTGATCTTCTAAGGTTTTTCTTACTCTGATAACCATGAAAGACTTGCTCGGTCTTTGAGAATGAAAGGAAGGCCAGCTTCATCATTTGAGAACGACCTGAGAGGCACCACCTTCCACTCCCAGAACCCTATTTAAGCGCTTCCCCGATCTCTCAACCTTCCTCACCTCACCACTACAAGTCCCACTTGCTTGCCTCTCCCACTGCCTCGAGTAGTCCATCCACAAGTTCCACATTCTCTACCTCTCTTCTGATTCCTGCAGCTGCACGCGCCCCCAACACGTCCATCTGAAACCATCAGTCATGGCCGGTGTCGCTGATCGTGCCGAGTCGCTGTCCCGACTATGCGTGTGGGTGAACGGCCCGATCATCGTCGGGGCTGGGCCGTCCGGTCTAGCTGTCGGGGCCTGCCTCAGGGAGCAAGGCGTCCCCTTCGTGATCCTCGAGCGAGCCGACTGCATTGCCTCCCTCTGGCAGAAGCGTACCTACGACCGCCTGAGGCTCCACTTGCCCAAGCAGTTCTGCCAGCTCCCGAAGCTCCCCTTCCCGGAGGAGTTCCCGGAATTCCCCACCAGGAAGCAGTTCATAAGCTACCTGGAGTCGTACGCGAAGCAGTTCGAGATCAGCCCGCGGTTCAACCAGTCGGTGCAGTCCGCGAAGTACGACGAGACGAGCGGGCTGTGGAGGGTGACGGCCGTCGTCGCCGGCGATGATTCCAGGAACCGGAGTGCCGAGGTGGAGTACATCGGACGGTGGCTGGTGGCGGCCACCGGCGAGAATGCGGAGAAAGTAGTCCCCGAGCTGGAAGGGCTGGAGGAGTTTGGCGGCGACGTGAAGCACGTCTGCGACTACAAGTCCGGGGAGGCCTACCGGGGAAAGCGGGTGCTGGTGGTCGGCTGTGGAAACTCCGGTATGGAGGTCTCGCTCGACCTGTGCGACCACGACGCCTCCCCGTCTATGGTGGTTCGAGACTCGGTGAGTGATCCACCATCAACGCCTGTAGGATGCATGCAGCAAGCTCTCTGGTGGTGTCCTAATGGAGTTGGTCCTCCATCATCGCTGCAGGTTCACGTGCTGCCGAGGGAAGTTCTCGGGAAATCGACGTTCGAGCTGGCTGTTCTGCTGATGAAGTGGCTGCCCCTGTGGCTGGCGGACAGGATTCTGGTGGTGTTGGCATGGCTGGTGTTCGGAAACGTCGAAAAGCTTGGCCTGAAGAGGCCTTCCACCGGACCTCTGGAGCTGAAGAACACACAGGGACGGACTCCCGTTCTGGACATCGGCGCGCTCGGCAAGATAAGGTCCGGCGAGATCAAGGTGGTCCCAGGAATCAAGAGGTTCATCCAGGGAAAGGTCGAGCTGGTCGACGGCCAGCTCCTCGACGTCGACTCGGTCATCTTGGCCACAGGCTACCGCAGCAACGTCCCTCGATGGCTTCGGGTACTGCTTTCTCTGGAACAGGTTTCCTGCTTCGTTACTTGTTCCATGTAGTGGTAAGCTGACCAGTGTTCGGTTCAATTTGCAGGGAAGTGACTTCTTCTTCTCCAAGGATGGACTGCCAAAGTCACCATTCCCGAACGGATGGAAGGGGAGTTATGGGCTCTACGCAGCTGGTTTCACAAGGAGAGGCCTCTCCGGTGCCGCCGCAGATGCAGTGAGGATAGCGGATGACATCGGCAGGTTGTGGAAGGAGGAATCGGAGCCGGCAAAGAAGCTCATTTGCCTGCCGTAGGAGATGCATCTCACACGACTGTTTCATGCTCTGCTGTTTTCCTCTCCCGAGACAGGCTGTAGATAGTAGCACGAAGCATACGCCCAAGTTTTGATGCATGGATGGGCCTGATGATGTACAAAGAACAGTCGATGATAATGATGATGATGATGAGGCTTTTTCTTCTAGGTTTTTCACCCTCGCTTTCGAGTACTTTGTACAAAACCTCAGAACAGCAGCTTTAGCTTCAATAAACAGACTGTACCATCTTCCTGCCTATGCATTTCAAGGCATCCATCCACTTTGTCCCTCCCAACAAACACAACCAGACAAACAAATCTTTGCTATGTTGTCTCTCCATGTACTTGTTGCTCGCCTTCAGACCGCACCTGTTCCAGTTACTGCTTCGCTTCTGCCATGGCAAAAACTGGAAAAGGCTGGTAAGATTCTGAAGGAGTCACAGTGAAATCTATACTGCCGCTGTACTGCATCGATGAATTTGTTGGAATTGAATGCGAGGACGGCAACGACAGCGCCACCGAGAGATACTGCAAGCTGTATGAATGATTTCTGAAAAGGAGATTTAAGCTCAGGCCTTTATTGCTGGGGATCAGCTGTGGCCAACTAGGAGCACCCGTCCACTTGTCAAAGACCCACCAAATCATTAGCTCCTGAGATTCCCATAGGGCTAATGTTTCACTCAGCTTCGGACTCCTTAAGCCATCCCTTCATCTATTTAAATCTACCGAAGAGTTGAGGTCTTCATGGAGGGAACAACAGCAACGAAAGGGACTCCTGAAATCTGCAGCACTACTCGCTCCAGTCCCATTTGCTCGATGATCCAATGCATGTAAAGAGAATCCTGATGTTACCCCATCCCAATCCTGAAGTGGGGGATGGATCAAAAACATACCAACTGTGTCAGGTTCTGCATTTAGAAGTGCTACCATCCTCAAGGCATCATGAAGGACACTTCTTTTCCTTCTCTTGATCATTGGATTGATACCTTTTTCATCCATGCCTACTCCACTGGTTCTGAGATACCTCTGAGAAGTCTGAAGTTGCACAACCCATAACTGCACTACCACATGCATCTCAAGGACAAAGCACATGGTCAGGCCTACATTGCCTTCTTGCCTCTCCCCAAACTTCTTTGATCTGGTCCATGCCTTGCAGCAATGTTGAACTGCTATGAATGGAAAATAAGAGTCTTCTTTTTGCCCTGGTGAGCAATATATTCATCATTGCATCTGCATCATTTCTGTCCATGCATACAATGGACGGAAGATTGTAGCTTTTGTGATGAGGAAGAAGGATGCAATTGGCCCACAAAGGTGATTCAGGAGCTGAGATGAAAGCACAGAGAATATTAGTACTAGGATCACATTGGCCCCATGTGTATTTTTTTCATTATAGGGCAAAATCTTTGCAAGATCTTAATGACAGTTATAGAAACTTTTCTCCAAGATCAAATCCTTTCTGAGAGACTCTTTTTATTCTCTACTACTGTGTGGTGCTTCTAATTAAACACTAAATGCAAACACAAGCAAAAAATATGCTGAAATATCACAGGCAGCAACATTTATTCCTTTTATGATCAACACCTTGCAAATATTAGAGTCTGTAAAGGATCATAAGTTTGCCTTGATTTCTCATTTGATTCTCTATGGCCTTTTTTAACTACCAACTACTTGTGTACAATGTAGTTTTTCTTATTTAGCTTCAATATATTGACCCTCCAAAAGAAATGTTTGTTCATTATGGCTATGGAGAGAACCAAGTGTACTATCAAAAGCAAATTGCTACCTCTTTCTTCATTCCTTTAATAACTTATTCTACATCTTTCAACCATATAAATGCTTTTTTGACATAGAATCATTGGTCATTACCCAACCATCAAGCAAAGTTATTTGACACAACTATTTCATGGTCATGATTTCATGATTCATTATTACATCCTATTCAACAAGTTGTACATACATACATTATATATATATATATATATATATATGTATGTATGTATATGTATGTATGTATATATAACTCTCAGCATATAATTCTGAACAGAACTTCATATCAGCCACATCAAAACTACATGAAAAGAAAAATGATGTATTCATGGAATTGGCTGACAGATGAATCACATCTGAATTTATGGAATCCCAATTCCAATAACTTCTCTAACATGTAATCAGAGTGTCTATTGAGTTCTTCGAGTGCAATCTAGGAGTAATTTCAGAATCTTAAGAATCATGAATGCATTCAGATAATGCAGCAAAGAGCTAGAATAAGAAATTCGATATATGATCCTTTGGCACATTCATGTAGAATGAGAACTTAATCCTCTTTTTCTCAGTACTGTATGTTTGATCAATGATTAGGACATATTACAATAGTGGAATGCCGACCATTGGATTGGAGGGTGACAAAGATTCTATTATTCCTCCGAATAGACAACTGATCCTGAAGTCTGCAAAACTCCAAAAACCAGGCCAAAATTCCACATGTTTTGTCCTAATTCTCATAATTAGATTGCGATACATGATGTCATATCTCTAACAACTAATAGCGATGTTTGCAAATCACCATCAAGGGTTCCTTTAGCGGCTTGTGGTTCATGAGGCTAAAGAACTGCTCCAAAGCTGATACATAAGCCTTATGCATAAATGATGTTATCATATGTTTGTCCTGGAGTTGTTACCCATGCGTGGGCATTGTGATAACCAAGTGAGAAGGTCTGGATGGATTCAAATAGGAAGGTTGACATAGATGCAATGGATCTAACAACTCATAAAGTTTGTCATTCTTTCTTTTTCCTGTATGTCGACATTGCAATAGTTCTCTATTAGATACTTATGGAACTTGAACTGTGCATCAAACAACGACAGTTCTTAAAAATGTAGCTATTACACTATAGCTCAATGCAGGAAAAATATGATCTTATGACTATTTAGGATACTGTTACCGGTCAACTTTTCGGATCAATATCTAGGTTTGAAGCTGTTGGTAAGAAAATATAATAACAAAAATTATTTTATCCATGGAATACAAGGTTCTGGCTAAGTAATACCAAGTATCTACAAAGCCATATAGCAACCAGATAACAAGCATGCTACTCATATCTTAACTTCCTACTTAGTCAATTGCCGCAGAGAAACAACTCATACAACAGAAGCACAAGAATATCATATAAAGCCATCATGTTCAACGAAGTAGGATAGCATGGCACAGTAAAACTACAACTTTTGAGCTTTCAGCCCTTGGAGAACAATGGCTGGAAGAAGGGATGTCTCACTTATTGGAGTAAAATTGATGCAAAGAAGAACCTACGGAAGTTAGGGGATCCCACCCCTGAAACTGACCTCTCTTGTGTCACCTTTCAGTGGCCATCATCCTAGCAGGATGAAAATGACCTCAAAGGCCCACACTATCATGGGTCTTGGCATGTTGACATAGGACTAAACAGTATCCATGTTTCAATCAGTGAGGAGATGGAGAGACTGACAGGGACACTCCCTCAGAGGCTCCACATCAGAGCATGACAGGGTCCCAGCGCCACGCGGCAGACGACACACGTGAACGAGAACAATTCTTTGAAGGCCGACCACAGTGTGAGAGAATATGAGGTGGATATTTACAGTGGTGACGACAACAGAGGACACACCAATCGACTACAAACGAAATGCATGTAAGTTCTCTGCTTCAGGTATTTATTACACACCCCCCCCCAAAGCATAGGAAGATTGAGAAGAAAAGTGAAACTGGGATGAACGATTTTGGACAAAGCTTCCTTTCATTGGGGAGCAAATAGAGTCAATGATCTCTCCATGAAGGGAGGCCAAAGGTTAACCAGCATCAAGATTTGGAACAATTGGAATGTGGTCCATGTAAGATCAGGTGAATTGTTCACTGGTTCCAGCTTCATAGAACAGGAAAAGGATTATACTGAAAGGTGTCAATTTTAATGTCAACACCCATCCATGTGAAGCCCTCGTGGGTGTGCACTTGAGCAGAGTACCCCAACTTGGTAACTAGCTGCTTGTCATCTAGCCCATTAAACAATCATTACATTGTCTTTGGGACATAAGTTCATATTCCCTCAGAAGAATGTGGTGATGGCTAGACCTGGATATTTAGGCAGCCATCAATGCCATGAATTCGACCCCAAAAAATAATTGAAAAATCATTGTTGAAACAGAGCAATCCTCATCACTTCCATTGAAGATAACCAAAAATACGAGAGTGCAATCATCTTGATGCAGTCGCTAAAGTGCATGAACACATGGGATTCACAAGGACAGAGCACCTACTGGTGCTCATCATGTAAGAAGCAATCATTTATGCATGCTTAACAAAATTGTCCCTTCCTGGGATAAAGGGCTGTCAGTGAGATGCAAACCTCATAAAGCACACGCACCTCCGGCTTTTCTTTTGCGCCAAATCACTGTCCGCTGCCCTGTAAGTGCAGTCATCATCCAAAAAGGACTGAGATTTCCTTGGTCATAAAGCAAATGAGAACATCAAAATTCGCTAGGGAAAAAAGAAGGAATACGACTGATTAATACAAATAGAGAAGGTTTCCGGGCCATCTGTATTCGCAGATCCTGTGAAGATGGCGAGATTCAGACGCCGTGCCGGCGGCCATGCCCGGCCGGATGATAGGTGCGTCGACCACGGGCGGCACCGGCGTCCGCAGAGGGAGCCGGAACAGAGAGGTGGGACACGCGACGGGTGCGCTTGTCGACATCTTAATGGGCCTGTTACTTATGCCCGTTCCGTTAAGCTGATCCACTAACAGACCGCCATCCGATCTAATTGGGCCGCTTTCGTTGGGTTGGACTCACTCAAACCGAGCTGGATCACATTTGTGGCAGCAATTGGCTAAACCGTTTCGGTTCGATCGAACCGGCCCCCGCTACTTCACCGAACTTTGCTTTCTTGCGCCATGGCACGTGAACCATGGTGTATACGATATCATGGAAGTTGAGTACAAGCGCATCAAACCGACCCGATCTAATCTCGGTTGAACCGGTTATAATTTATGAACCAATTCGCCTGGAAATATATATATATATATATATATATATATATATATATATATATATATATATATATATATAATGTGTATATATATACATGTATATACATATATATGTGTGTATATATACATGTATATACATATATATGTATATATATATACACACACGAAATGTCTATATAGATGCAGCTAAATAGACATATATTGAGATTTCAGTATGCTGTCAACTGGTAATGTAAGCAATAAAAGCATCCAAATCAGCTTTGGAAGATCCACCCTCAGCCATGGCTTTTCTTACTGCTTGTCCCACAGCGTTGGCTCTCCTCTGCACATCCTTCCCTTCCTCGCTAATCATCAGCCTCAGGATAGAATCCCTTATCGCCATTGCTGGCGTGAGCTCGTTCCTCTTGGCCCAGTCGCGCACGAGGACGCCGGTGCCGAGGATGTGAGTCACGAGCAGGGTGTTTCTTGGCTGATCTGAGTGCATGGGCCACGCCAAGATCGGCACGCCCATGCTCAAGCTCTCCATGCACGAGTTCCACCCGCAGTGGCTCATGAAACCGCCGGTGGACCGGTGCGCCAGGATATCCAGCTGCGGCGCCCACCCTCTCACCACCCTCCCCGTCCTGTGCACCGCCTTGTCATAGTTCGGCAGCTGCTTGTCGCCCGAAGCGTGGTCGCTGATTCCTTCGTCGGCGTAGATGTCGGCCCTGTCGGCGTCTCTCAGCACCCAGATGAACCGCTGGCCGCTAGCCTGCAGTCCCGCCGCCAACTCGGCCACCTGCTCGTCGGACAACGACGAAGTCGTTCCGAAGGACACGTACACCACCGACGATGGCGGCTGCTGGTCCAACCACTCCAGGCACTCGTGGCGACAGCTGGTACCATCGTCGGCGACGACTGTCTGGTTCAGGGGGCCGACGGCGAAGGTCTTCTGCTCGCGCCACCGTGGTTCTTCCTTGAGCAGGTCGATGAATGGGCCCTCGATGGAGCGACAGGTGTTGAGCAAGCGGCCAGAGTCGGCGCCCGTCATCTGGTGCTGGCTCTGCAGGAAGCCCAAAAACTCGTCAGTGAAGCAGCCGTCGTTTGTTACCACGGCCAGGTTTAGTTTCCCGACGACCAGATCCTCGAGCTGCTTTCCGCAGGATTCCCAGAGGTAGAGGAGGACGGCGAAGGCGGAGACGCTGTGGAAGGAGAACGCCTCGACACCGGGGAGGGAGGCGGCCAGAGCGGCGGCGAAGGACATGGCAGAGTCGTGGATGAGGACGACGCGGCGAGAGGGGGCCGCGAGGGAGCGGAGGAGGGCGGCGAGAGGATGCCGGAGGTGGACGGCGGCGTCGAATGCCGGCTGGAGGTGGGCGGGGAACTTGACAGCAGCCCGAGGGTCAGGCTCCGGGGAGGCGAAGGGCGGCAACGGGAAGTCATGGAAGTGGATCGTCGCGTCCGGCCGCCATCCACTGGCGCGGTCTCGTACCTGGCGGTTGTGGGTGGCCGAGCCGGCGTAGTGGACGGCAACGCCGCGAGTGGAGAGGAGGCGAGCGAGGTGGAGGAGCTGGTTGAGGTGGCCAAAAGCAGGGAGAGGAAGCACCACCACCGACACACCTCTCAGGTTGGTTTCAGCTTCTCTGCCGTCATCCATGGCAGAAATGAACCGAGGCAGGTGAAGTGATGCAGTGTGCAGCGGGCAATCCAACAGCAGGAAATGGATTAAACTACGGAAGCCAGTAATGCTCTCTTATGGGGGAAAGATTTGGGACGCAATTGCTTTTGTTGCAGGCTATGGTTGCTATCATGCACATTGACGTGATGTTTAGCTGCTGCATGTTCGGGCGGAGAGCAGCCCGTTTGGCGTGGAGCGGCGCTTTCGCACCCCAATTTGGTGGACGTCAGTGGATTGCTGTCCTTTTACTCATTTATTTCTTTTTTCTTAATATATATTTTTTGCCCTACCAAAATGCAATTCTCCTTTTTATCTTTTGTTGTCCAACTTGTTAATTATTTTCTTAATATATTTAATTGTTAATTATATAATTAGTAAATATATGAAATTAGTATCTCTATTGAGACATCAGAATTAATTAGTATTTTATTTTAATATTAATTAATTCACATGATTTTTTAAAAAAAAATTTGTAAAAAAATATAAATTCAATCAGTGGATTGGATAGGAATGAATGATTAGATTATCCAATACATATATAATATAATTCAATTCTGCAAAAGAACAAATTGCATGCTTTGATTGTGAGATTAGAGATCTGAGCTGTGTGTTTTTGAAGGGTGGGAGAATGGATGTGAAACTTTTGCACGTTGTGGTGTTGGGGCCATCACATTATTAATGCAGCAACAATCTGTCATTTCTGGTCTCTAAATATCCCTTTGTGTTTGTTTCATTCATCAGGTCCACTGGCAAAGTGTGTGGCAGCTGAAAGCTCACCAACTATGTATAAATATTACGGTGCCATGTCCATTGAGAAGAACCCTAAAGAAACAGAAGATATATCTCTACAATATACTAAAGAGATTTGAGCTGCAGATAACACAGACTTGACAGAAACCCAAGCCAAACTCTATCTTGGATTAACTCGGCCAATTGGGCAGCAGAAAGAGATGATAACTCTGCCAACCCAAGTTCTCTTCTTTTAGCGCTAAAGGCTCAAATCTCGTTGCAATGCTCTTTAATTACTTATTATTATTTTATATTTTAATCGATCTTTGTATTTAAATAATTTATATTGAGATCTCTTTAGTTCGAAACAAATAATCCAATTTACTTTAACATCATCAATTGTATTAATCGAAAATATAATACATGACATCACGCGTGTTGGATTGATACGAAGAAGGTGATGGGTAAAAAGATAATTTTAATATTTTTTTATTTTTAATAAATAAATGTTAAAATTATTTTTTTATAATAAAATTATTAAAAATAAAAAAAATTATTTATTTCATTTTCAAAACTATAAAAATCTCGATATAAATTTATAAAACACTAATAAGATAATTAATGTATTATGTCTTAAGCATTAATCCAAAACGTTTAGGCAATTGACTATGATTCCATTCATATCATCTCTCACTCACAGGCCTAAACTGAAAGTGGAATTCATTTTGGAGGGACTTATCGACCGATGTCACGCTCACCGGCGTGAGATCGGAGAGCAAATTCTACCTGTCTGAATGCCGGTGAAACGAAGCAGAAGGTGAAACCAAGTAAACATAATGACAGTATCAAAAGCAGCAGCAGTCTCTGCAGCATCACCAGCTTCCTTATCTCCCTCAGCAGCCTGTCATCATCTTCCCGGCGCCTGAAGGATAACCTCGCACCGGCGTCTCCCATGGCCACCCTGCTCCGAAACAGCACCGAGTTCGCCACCCCCTGTGTGTTGTTGTTGAGGTAGATACTGACACAGCAGCGATGACGCGGCCGCCGTTGCCGAACCGACATCGAAGCTCCTGCATTCGTGCCACCTGAAGAGACATGACCGGCGGTGCCCCCGGCGGTCATGGCGAGTCTCAAGCGATGAAGTGTACAAGGAAGAAGAACATTTGTCTGGGTTATACAAGTTGCTCTAATGGAGGATTTGCTACTGCTGCAAGCAAAGAAGATTCCTTGGAATGACTTGCCCCTTTCCATCATCTCCCACGCAGGAACAAGTATTGTTTTTTCGGTTAGAGCTCATTAACATATCGATTCTTTGACTTAAAATTTGATAATCTGATTTAAAAAATTTATATTAAAATTCTTATAGTTATAAAAGTAAAATATTTAACTTCATTTATCATAATATCATCGATACAACATGTGTATCAATAATATGAAAATGATAGATAAAAATATAATTTTAACAGTAGTGGTGAACGATGGTGTCGTAGTTGACTATTGTGATGGTAGTCGACAAGAACGACATTATGGTCGGCTTGTTGATGCCGATCCAAATATCGACAACGAAGAGAAAGAGAAGACAAAGCGATGAAACATCTACGTCGACGCTGGAGGAGAAAGATGAGGGAGGTGAGGCATCTATATCGACGTTACATCACTCTACCTTCTCTTCTTCCTCCGATGCCCAATCTATATCTGCGTCGATGCCGAAGGAGAAAGAGGAGATAGGTGAGGCATATATGTCAGCACTAAGCTTAAATCCTCTCGCTCACTTCCAGCATCGTGGTAGGAGAGAGTATCAGAAAGATGACGATGACGGATATGACGAGTAGAAAGGAGGACGAGGGCTTATTATCTTTCCCGTCGTCAAATCTATACTCTTGGGCCTCCATTTTATGTGGCAATCACTCCTCATCGTCCGATCATATCTCCTTCGGTCACGAACGGAGTTGATTCAGAAGCAGGTCGACAACCACACCGCTATGGCAGGGGTGTACGCATCATTCACGTGCCGGCTAAAGCTCAAGAGCTCGAAGCAGACATGCCTCTTTGTCGAGCTCTCCCTCCTCCTCGTTACCCACCACCCCTTTCTCTAATCTGCATTGCCACTGGACGAAGCGACCGTTTGAGGATTTGAGCGCGATGCCAGCATGGATGCCTTATTGCTTTGCCTCCTCTTCCTCCTCATCATTAATGTTCATATCGATATTGACAAGATCGATCATCGTGTTGTTATCGCCGACCACCACCACAACAATCACTCACAACACCAACATTAAAATTATCTTTTTTACCTATTATTTTCGTGTCATTCATGCACGTGCTATCACATACTATATCTTCTGTTGATAAAGCTGATCACATTAGGATAAATGAGGTTAAATGTTTTACCTTCATAACTATATGAATTTTAATATAAATTTTAAGATATAAAATATTCTAACTACATGAGGTAATCTATACGACATATATCAACAATGAATCATATTGATCAAATTACAAGCATAAGACCTAAAGATACAAGTATTTATTCAATAACCAAACCTTAAATCTAAAACCTTCTTTCTTTCACAAAGAAATCTTTCAATAATTAGATTCTTTATCATTTGATCCAATGGTAGTGGATCCAAGAACGCAAAAAATATTTATCCAATACTTACCAATCCCAACATGAATAAAACTCACCTCAATACGAGATTAGAAAATAACTAAGAACATGAGCGGTAATATCATAGGAACACATCTTTTTAGTTCTTCAAACACAACAAATAAACCTGCAGAATCTCAGTTTATGTGATGGTCGACTTGTGACATGAATGACAAAAGAATGATGATAGTAATAACAATAACAATATCAACACAAAGAATGTTTAACCCAAAAAGTAACTCTAATCAGAGATAATTACGAGCACATTGCTTCAAATCCAATTCCAAATAGAACACAGAAATCATGACATACTATCAAAGTACCATGTATCCTATTATTCTAACAAGTTACAATCGTATATCATAGAGCCTAGATTTAGCAGCAAAGTGAAACAAAAAGGATAACATGCCTGCAGCAAATTTCCAGAAAACAAACAGGCTCGAATATAACTTGAATATAGTGTACCTAAGAATACCAAGAGAACCCAACATCAATCGAGGAACAACATTAGAAAATTCAATTACTCCATTTCAAGTCATTACCGTGATGAAGTGACAATATCGAACTATCAATCACATAGAGAACTTTCATAATCATGCCGAGAGGTTTTCGGTTTCAGTGACATTTCTGCGTTCAAACGATCCTAGAATGATACCCATATTGATTTTCAGGAAATCTAATACCCCATTAAGAAATAATATTATTTTTCTAAGAAATATAACCAGTAAGGGATAAGCACACGTTAGAAAGAAAAGAGGAAAAAGAAAATGATCACATAATACAAGGAAAAATAAGAAAAGAATATATAAATTTAATGAATTCGGAACCTGAATACACTATGATTTATTTCCCTATGAAGAGAGATTAGGAACTGGTGAGGAGGAAAAGCTCCCAGCCCTCTCTTTAGACTCGATCAACATCAATACAACTTCCCGCATAGTTGGTCTATCCAATGGGGACATATTTGTACATCGCAAAGCAATTTTCAGAACCATGATCATGTGATCGACAACGATCCTATCTTCCAGATTCAGTTTACTATCAAGTATTCCAGCATTTAAAGAATTGTCTCTAATATATGTCCTTACCCATGTAACAAGGTCACCACCTTGGTCTAAGGGTTGTACAGGTGTTCTTCCAGTCAGCAATTCCAGGAGGACAACTCCATAGCTATAGACGTCACACTTTTCCGTAACCTTCATGGTATATGCATATTCTGACAAAAAGGCATAATTAAACATGTTTATTATAAAGGTTGAAAACATGAACTCGGAGATGCATATACTCTACAACAGATATGTGGTAACAGTGCAATGCAAGTTGATAAATTATGTACAAATTACAATATAGTTGCTAGCATCGGCTCGCAGGTAAAAATCAGCATGCATCATCAAAAACACGGAAATCCAAAATATTTTTTCTAATGCTATGATAGTGAGCTAGAAATGTCAAGCTCCGTTGCAGGACATTTGTGAAAGCAAAAAGGCAAAGCACAAGAGGCCATTTCGATGGGGACATAGTCATTAGGACTACAATGGCTGTATAGAAACTGTTATTACGAAAAGGACTACTTAGCGCAAGTCTCTCAGGGATTAGTACAATAAGCACACAATTTAACTTTGTGGTGACCAAATCCAAAAGAAACTTAAACATCTGTTCAACCTTTGGGGGGTAAAGAAACTCCTGTCCAAGCAAGAATTTCAAGTTATTCTATCTAGTGTGTTGAATTAGTTTAGGAGAAAATTTGGAATTATGTTAAAAGACATAACAGAGTAGATAAGTTCTAAATTGCCTGCTAGTTGGTCAGAAATTACACAGGAAAAATGGTACATTCAGAATACAGTAACTACACAACATTGTTATGCTTTGCTCATAGCATAAAACCCTCCTAAGGTATCTTAGCTCCTGGTGATGCAGGAGAAATGAGCAGGCTAGAGTTTCAAGATTGCTCTAATAATTAAACAGTTGTGATGTCAGTGTTCCGTCTGAGAATCATGTTGCTGCTTGGGTAGAATAATCAGAAAGAGAACAGAATAAGGTAGCAGTCAAAGTTGGTAGAGCCAGTGCAGTAGCTTTTACTTTAAAATAGTAGATGGGATGGTTAACCATAGGGAACAGCTGAAGTAGAAAGAAAATGGTATAAATTAATGTCATTTAAGATGACTTACCAGGTGCTATATACCCATATGATCCAGCAACTGCAGACATGGATTTTGATTGTGGCATGTCAATCACCTTTGCCAATCCAAAGTCTCCAACATGAGCTTCAAAATTTTCATCAAGTAGAATGTTGTTCGACTTGATATCTCTGTGAATGATGCGGAGTTTGCAATCATGGTGCAAGTACGAAAGCCCCTCAGCAGCACCAAGAGCAATCATATAACGGGTGCTCCAGTCAAGAGGAGGAGATTGCCCATGAAGCAACTCACCCAGGCTGCCTCTTGGCATATACTCGTATAGAAGAAGATTGGAACCCTGGTGATAGAAGAAACCATAGAGCTTTACAATGTTTTTGTGCCTGATCTTTCCAAGTGTCAAAATCTCTGCCCTGAAACTGTTCTCCATATTGTTACCTTCCCGATTAGATGCTAGCTTCTTTACAGCAACTGTCTGCCCAGACTGCACAACTGCTCTGTACACTATTCCACAAGCACCACTTCCAATTATGAAACTCTCATCAAAATTATTTGTGGCGGCAACTATATCTTGAAAGGTAAAATTTTCCCTTAAAGAAATATATGTGCCTGAAGTTGTAGTACATATTTGCTTGTCATGGAAAGAAGCAACTGTTTCAAGAGGTTTTCTCATGATATAAACAATTAAAGCAATAAGAACAAGAGAAATTCCTCCAACAACAGCAGCAATTATCGCAATAATCCTACCCAAGGAGGTATTTGTTCTGGCCGGCAGAGATGCAGATGATGGTGATGAACCACAATTACCAAGAGGTTTACCACAAAGACCCTTATTTCCTATAAAGCTACTTAGGGCCATATTTTGAAACAGTGGAATAGAAGGTATAGGTCCTGTAAGATTATTATATGAAACATTTAGACCAAGTAAGCTAGATAGATTGGCAAATGTTGATGGAATTTCACCGGTTAGATGGTTATTGTTCAAGAAAAGGGACTCCAACAGAGCAAGATGGCCGAGTTCTGGTGGTATGTCCCCCGAAAGGTTATTGTAGCTAAGATTCATTGCAATTTGTAGACTTGAAAGCGCACCCAACTCCTTAGGTATTGCACCAAAAAAATCATTTCCACCCATCTGAAGCTCCGTCAGACGAGAGAGCTTTCCCGTAATGGTAGGTATTTTTCCTGATAACATATTATCAGAAAGTATAAGCCGTTCCAACTGCAGAAGGTTTCCAATTTCATTAGGCAATGTGCCTACAAACTGATTCTGGCTGAGATCAAGCCGCTGAAGCATCTTACAGTTGAAAACCTCTGGAGGTATGCTTCCTCTAATTTTATTGGATGAGATGTTAAAGACGACCAACTGTGACAGATTACCAATCTCCCCTGGCAACTCATGGGTGAAGAAGTTGTTATGAAGATTAAGCCTCTGTAAAGATATGCATTCCCCTATGTCTGCTGGAATGGGACCACTGAATCTGTTGTCATCCAACTCAATGGTAGTGAGATTAACCAGCTTGCACAAACTAGAGGGAAAGCTTCCTGTGAGACTGTTCTTACCTAGATGAAGCTGAACCAACGATTTACAATTGGTAACTCCATCAGGAATGTTGCCAGTCAACTTGTTTGACCAAAAGTTCAACAACATAAGGTTCGAGTGTCTACAAAGATTGCTCGGTACTTGCCCGGTGAGGTTGTTCTCCGAAAAGTCAACCACCCAAAGTGGGCTGTACACCCCAAACCTCTGAGGAATGATGCCGGATAGGTTGTTACTGAAGAGTTGCAATTGAATCAGATCAGGCAGATACTGCAGTCCAAGAGGAATTATTCCAGTGAGAGAGTTGATAGAGAGGTCAAGCTTTTTTAACCTTTTTAATCCACTGAGTTCAGGAGGAATGTTGCCCATAAGCTTATTCTGGAACAGGTAAAGCAACTGCAAACCCTTCATATTACTGAATTCTGGTGGTACTTCTCCAGTCAACAGATTTTCTGAAAAATCGATCTCTATTGCTGCAGTAAGATTCCCAATGGTTTTTGGGATCGTTCCATTCAATGAATTCCTGTACAAATACAACTTCTCCAAGTTGTTCAGATTTCCAATCTCTACAGGTACATCACCTACTAGATAATTCTGGTAAAGTGCGAGTGTCACGAGGCTACTGCAGTTTCCCAGCTGCTTGGGAATAATCCCAGAAAGTTGGTTGTCCCAAAGAATCAGTTCAGTCAATTTATTCAACTTCCCGAGCGATTTAGGAATCTCACCTCCAAGCTGGTTCTGTGCAAGGCCAAGAAGCTTCAAGTTACTACAGTCGCTTATCGCCTCTGGAATGCTTCCAGATATCAGATTCTGTCCCACTCGAAATGTGGTTAGATTCTTCAGCCTGCCTACAGACCTAGGCAACGGACCTGTAAGGTTGTTAGTGTAGGCCAGAAGTTCGACAAGCGATGAAAGTTCTCCGATCGACTCAGGAAGAGAACCAGATAGTTTGTTGTTGCACAAATTACATTTTGACAAAGATGAAAGGGCACCTAATTCATGAGGGATTTCACCTTCAAACTTGTTGTTATTCAGATACAAAATTTCCAACCTTGAACAATTTCTGATCTCCCTAGGGATTGTTCCCGAGAATTCATTGAAGGAAAGGTCGAGATGAGTTAGGTGAACTAATCCACCAATGCTAGGAGAGATGGTTCCAGATAGATTCATGGAGTTGAGATTGAGACCTAGAACTACTGGATTGTAGTCAGAAGTGCAATTCACACCCTTCCATCCACAAGGCGTAAGATCATTTGCGTTCCAATCATAAAGGTGGTGTACAGCATCCTTCATCATATTCTTAAGTTCCAATAGGTATTGTCCTTCTATGTTTACCCCTTCAGAGTTATGTACGAATACAAAGGCCAATAATGCCAAAAACTTTAGAAGAATCAAAGCAAGAGCTCTGCTAAATTCTGGAATATCTGACATCTTAACCATCAGAATCACTTACTAGAAGAGCTACTGTTGAGATCAGTAAAGCCTCATCGCACCAAGAACGGAAACAACCTTTCAGTCATCCTCCGTGCCTAATCTCAGAGGGTCCTCAATTTCCTGATAAATGTAAAAAAGAAAAAAGTTACTCAGATTGCAAGAGAAGCTACAACAGTTAAAAGCAACACCTTTAGAAATTGAGTTTACAGAATCCAAATAAATTTCATAAAATTGGGCCTTCCTCCATGGTTTTGAAGCCTTGGAAGTGGCAAACCGATGCAATGCTTCACCGATGAACAAATCACACCAGTACATGCTTCCGGTATGATGAACTGGACTTTCTTGCCTCAACAGATCTCATCGAAGAGAGTTTTTGATCAAACCAGATCTTGTGTTAGGTATGATCAACCGGACTTTCTTACCTCAAGAAAGCTCAAGACAAGCCAATTCTTCGAGCAGATACGAAGACGAAGACGCCACCACTGCCATCTGCTCCCCCTCCGGATTTAAGACAGCTCAACCCAAAATTCTCTCGCCTAACTTTGGAAAAGCCTAATTCGTATTGGCGATATTTCTCGCAGCCAAACTAAAACCCTAGAGCGGTCCAACAAACTGGGACAAGTCACTTCGAGCCCACCTCAGCTTTTACCAAATTCTCGTGAAAGATACCTACTTTTCAAACTATCACATCAATATCTACATTTAATCTCAGGACGAAGCCATAACAAATTTTCCCGGCCCAGAGCTCGAACACTCGAGACCGCAAACTCAGTCGCGGCGACAAAAAACTCTTCTGCAGAAGAAACCCACCATTTCAAACAACACGATAATCCTCCGTTCAGCCGAAGAAAATACAGCTGGAATCTTACAAACTGACCCAAATTCCTTCAAGAAAGAGACCCGCCACCGAGGAAAAATCACATGAAATCACGAAATCTTGAAAGCTTTCCGTATGCGAAACCTGTAAAGGAGCAGGCTTTCCAGCTCTTCCCTCGAAAGGAAGAGTGCAAAGGCGCCAACTTTTTTCTCTTCTTTCGCCTTCTTCGACCTACTGATGCATGGAATCTACCTCGATTCAGTCCATTTCCACTCTGGAAATTCACGCTCCACTCCTCTGCCCTGCTTTTGGCCCCATCTGACCCTCACCGTCGATCCGAAAAGGAACCTATTTTAAGAAGAAAGATGACGATTTGGAGAGAGAATGGAAACAAAGAAGACAAAGCAGCCACAGTAATGGCCGGCAAGCATGCTTTCACGGTCTCAGCCTTTTCTACACCACCACAAACCCCCCCCCTCCCCCCCCCCCCCCCCCCTTCCTCTTATTACTGAATAGTGCTTCCTAATTCTCGTTGACTAGAGCGATTTCTTTACACGGCTATTCAAGCACACTGATGGTGTTGGGCAAAAAAGACAGTGGAGTGTCTTCTAGGTTTTGAACTGACTCCAAGATGAGCTCTAATAGTATAAAGGCTCTTAGGCTTGGAACAAAGTCCAAGAATACTTCTATTCCATTCTATCCATTTCTTTTGGCTACCAGTTGCTAGTTCCAACGTCGATCTTTATTGCTCGAACAGTAGATGAATTGGATTTTAGGCTCGATCGATCTTGAGTTGGAGCTGAGAATCAATCATGGAGTTCTTAAGGGGTTGGATGCCCTCCTGCGGACCCAACCATGAAATATATCTTTGTATGAAGCTTCTATCGGTGCTTCCATGTGAGGAGGATTCTAACTGGGGATGATTGGAGAGGCTCTGCAGAGTGTGCCACATGCAGAATATGAGCAACACTTCAGTACATGTACTCTTTCTTCTGAGTTGTTTTTTGATCCATGTGAGATCAAGTCAAGGAGTTGGTCATTGGTCATAAAAAAAAAATTCAGTCAAAGGATTGGTCATCAAGAAAACTTGATCTAAGTTTCAGTTGTTCAAAATGTTTCTTGCCAGAAACCTTCACCTCCACATTCAACAAGGTCATTTACTATATGCAAGAATAAATAGATTTGAGGATGCTTACTGAGCTGGAGAAGAGTCATATGAGAAGTCCCAGTGATCTGTAGACAATCAGTCATTATGCTGATATGAACCTCAACATCAAATGGAACCATAGGAGGTTTCAGCTCTGCACAAATATTCCACCACAAGTTTCTACTTGGCTAAGATCACAAAGAAACTTCAACTGGTCTGCAAATCTCAATCTGACATGGAAGAGTTGAAGGGAAAGAAGACGGGAGTGACAACAAATGTCTAGGAACATTGTTACCAAGTCTGCTCACCTTGGTATAGCATCCCACTCCTTGTTCTTGATGAATTTTGTCACAAATCCACGAAGTCTCAGTTCATGAATTATAATGCATCCCTCCTTTACAACAATGGCTGGATCATGTCAAACAACAAAAAGGAAAACCCATTAGGATTTTACTATCTCTCTGGAGAGCACTTGGCCCAACCCCATGCTCTCTCATCTACCTTCATCTTCAACCCATGGAATCCATGTGGTATTCTGAAAGAGACAGCCATGCTTATCTTTTTCCTACCCCATTCATGTTCAGTTCCTCTTTGATTCACTTCTCCTTTCCACTCTCAGTACTTGGATTCTTTTCATCATCTTTTTCTTTTACAAAGGCCTCCATACAATGACTGCTTTCACCATTTGGCATAAGTTCGGCTGGAAGACACAAAAAGTCAAGTCTCCAAACTACATAATCTTTTTATTGAAAAACACATCAAGATGCAGAGAACTGCTTGCTTCAAATTCAAATGATAGAAACTAAAGCATTGAAGTCCTGAAGAATCATTCATGAATCAGCGGCAGTTGAGTTGTTAAATCAACATTGTCAGCTGAGAAACATGCAAGAAAACCCATCTCAAGAAGAAAAGAATAAGTGAAAAGATAGCTGGGACCAAGCTGCTTCTTGGTCCCAGAAGCTGACAGTAGCCTTCAAAAAGCACCAAAAGATTGTTCATATGGGTCACACTCATGTGGTCTCATTTTCTAGCTTATATGTCATCCATCAAAGATTTCATTGACTAGTCCTTAAGCAGCACCAACACAACAAAAATTCTCTGGGATTCAAGTGAACACCAAGAACTGCATCAAACTAAAGAGACTGTCCCACCCTACCCTGAAAGATAGACATAATTGAGGTTGCAGTGCAAGGTCGGCAGCAGAAGGATTAAAGTGACTGACATGTACATGTAGAAGAGGAGATGAGAATGAAGACATGAACATCTCTGCTCTCTGTTGCTTCCTTCTTCTGCTGATCTACTCTGTTCCTTCTTCTGCTTATCTACTATCTCTTTAGATTGTCTTGAATATCATGAGGTGTGATCTGGGAACTAAATGGCATAATTCTTCTTTAAGATAGAAAAAAGAAGTATTTCCTAATACATTCCTGCATCATTGAGGTTAGATAATCTTCATAGGATAAATCTGAGGACACAGTTACAGAGTTCTGTTTGATAGTTACACTCGATCATGCGCAAGAAAAAGCACTCCAATTGAGCATCAAGTGCTCATCTTTTATCTTCTTGCACATCATTCATCTATTTTTTTATCTTATTTTAGGAGGAAAGTGGCTTTTCCATTTGGCATGTGATGGGTCTTAGATTAGTGGGTGGTCCATTTGGCAGACTGTAATGGCCACAGCTTGGAGTTTTCGTTCTTCACACTCCATAGAATGACAAGGAAAGGGGGAAGATTAGATGGTGACATAGTAGACTCTTGAAGTAAGCCAATTGATCTAACTTGATCATTTATCATTCCTTTTCATTTCTATCATTCAAAAAACCATATATTTGTTTATACTGGTCAGAAGATAAATTGATCACTAGGTTTAAAGATGGGTGGGTTATGGTACTTGTGTGCATACCATAACACAATGCTTCTTTATCCAGAGTAGACACCCACAATGTTCTCAGTGATCATCTGATGTGGAGATTTGGCTTATCTAAACAACCATGGCATTTCGTTGCTTGTCACACTCACTGCTGATCCATTGTTGAGACAATTATGGACAGATGGTATGTCAGTATATGGTCACACATACTTAGATCATCAGTTTATGGCATTCCTCAAAAAATCTGATGGTAGTGATGGTGACAAATTTTGATAGAGAAATTAATCCTTATGCTTACCACAATAGTCCTTAGTAATGTTATGGCCTTCTTGCCATGACATCTGGCCTTCCATGATGATGAGTGGGTTCTGCTGATATAACCTTAGAATATATAAGCCGTATTTTATTTGTAATGATTGAGGGGTATTTCTGGGTCCCGCCCAACTGTGTTTCTATAAAAATATATCATGCAAAGATATTCCAACTGCTCAAATTATAATAGCATTATCATGCAAAATGAACAATAATTCACCATTTCACATGCCATTTAAGAAACTTCTGATGGCCATGGGATTTGTATTGTATGTACAAATTTTTATGTTTGAACCTATGTGCATAGCTAGCTCAGTTAATATTGAACCACCTATTATGAGCTATTTTATGACCTAAAACACACTATTTTTATCAATTGAAGTGTTCATTATGAATTTTCTGATCATGGTAAGTCATGAAGACCTGACTAATTGGTTGAAGAGTTCTTTCAAATTTGTACTCATGAATTCATGTCAAAGAGTAGATTTGCATTTTTGAATCAGTTTCCATTCTTCTAAAACAGATAAATGTCCTTTCACCATCTGGCATCTTACATCTAAACATCATTTATCTATAATATCAAATCAACATGTATTTTGTATATTTGCTTATGTGCAAATGGGACGGACTAACTCTATAACTGGGGTTTATGCAATAAAGGTCATATGGTCAAGGATCAGTTTTGTCCAAGTTATTGAACTATTAGTTCTTGTAGATCTGATTGTAGCATGTGTTAGGAAGGTAACTGTTTGATTACTAATTAGGTGTTTATATGAAGAAGAGATGACATGAAGCCCTGAGGAGATAATTTTTTAGTAGGCACAACCAACACATGTACTAGCAACTGCAAAGAATTGAGCTAAACCTTGTTTAGACCTTGATACAATACCTAATAATCTATCTGCTATTTGCTTGAAACATGATCTGTACTCCACATCCAAATCTTAATTTACCCTTTCAAGAACATGAAAATGTGCTCAAATTGTGTGCAAGTCACAAAGGTTCATATGTCAAACTTTTATATATTTATAAGACATCAAAATAATACACAATTGTCAGTCTGAAGGAAAAATCGAAACATACGAGGCGCTGTGATTATGGTTGTCAACTTGAGAGACACTCCGGAAGAGCAGGACACATTGCAGAGACATCATACTGACACATCAGTATGCTGTGCAGATTCATTACAGCATATGGCCATGTCCCTCACTATAACAGGGTAGATCAATTTCCACACTGTGATAGTAATATACAAGATAAGTTCAGTACTAATGAAAATGCATGTAATGTAACTTCAAGAACTACATGTCACATTAAGTGCAACGAGGAAAAAAGCTAGAATAGGAAGAGCATAAGTGTGAACTCGATTGTGCTATAATAATAAGAACAAACAATGCAATAAAATTAGTCGCCTTTTCCTCATTATGATAACTCAGAACTGTTGTTGAACGATGGGATACTGTAAGAGATGGTTATGGTGAATACAGTGATAGAGGACATGTCTAATGAGAAACTTTGAGCAAATACATAAGTAGCATGAAGTCTTAATTGTTAAGAAAAGAGTTGAGATTGCAGCAAACTTCCTGCACAAACTAATAGGCATTATAGTTCATTTGCTCAATGAATTACTTATAGTTGTTGCAATTGCCCCTAGAATAGGGAGATATATCTCATGTCAGTGACATGGAAGATCAATCTTCATTGTACCACAGATTATTTAATTATGCATGCCAAAGTCAAAGTTATTTCCAACCAAATTCTACAATTATTTCATCTATTAAAAGACAATATGGCTGTGTAGCAAAATGAAAAAACACAGACAAGTTTTTCTTGCTTACTCTTAGCTTAGTTGAACCAGAACATGCACCTTACATAGGAGAATTTTCCTATAAAAGTATCTAGAAAATCTGCTGCTGCTTCAATAGTTCCTAGATAAGGTAAGTGTGCATCTTTTTCCTGCAACCAAAATCCTAGGTAGAAGTTGTCTGCATATCTATACTTTAACATGCCATATATACATACATGAATCCTCAGTTTCATACCTATATCTGATCCAATGGTCAGGGATATATTCTTTCTAGATAGTGAAAATTCAAATAGATACTAGCATAAACTTGCAATATTAGCAAGCAATATTCTGATTAGTTCCTACCTTATTCTTTCCCTACACTTCATTTTAATGTTCATCTCACAGGGGACATATATATGTTGCCTTGTTGCATATGATCAATACATCTTTTCCTTAAAAAGGAAAGCTAATATAGGGTCATCAGGAAAACAAAAGCAAGGGTCATTCCCTTTTAACAATGAAAGGATGAGCAAATGAGATGCAACTTGCTAGATTCAGCAAGTAGATCAAGTTAAAACATAATTGTTGTGAAGTATAAAGAAACTGGTAGTTGTCTTTTGTATCAGCATTCTACTTTTCTTTTAGGGAAAAGATGGGTTAAAATTTTAAATTAACCCATTATTACATAAAGGTGTGTCAGTGTTTTCTATTTGTTGAATTGGGTTTTATGCTTTCATTTCAGGGTAAGGACTAAAATACTACATCTGCAAACTGAGTCAGAATGGCATTTTCATTGTAAGAGACCACATTCAATGGACCCCCTTGACAAGGAAAGATTTAAAATATTGCTAGAAAATACACTACTAGTCTACTCAGATTATTGGTACAATTTTGTTTCAAATTGAGTAAAAATTGTCAGTTCATAGATAGTGGTCGATAGGTATAGTTTGAACAACCAACCATGTAGGTAATGATCAAAGCAATCTGAAATTCTACAAAAACAGCCCAGTGAATGCTGCGCCAAACTTTCCAGCATTTGATGATGCCACATATATGCAACAATATCCTCATTGCAGGATTTCATGAAGGCCATAATTATGCAAATTTATCCCTACATGAAGATGGTAACCTGCTAATATAATGCATTAGAATGATCACTCAAGCAATCTAGAGCAATCTCTCGATGCACTAGACAGATGGTAGAGCAATCTCTCGATGCACTAAGGCCATATAATGCACTAAAGACGTGTTACTGAAGTGGATTTTTCTTTAATGGATTAGAGCGATTTTCCTGATTTCTTTTCCTCATATTTTTTAAAATGCCAATTTTTGAAATTTTATATACTGGTAAAAGTATTTTTAACAGTAAAATTCTACAAAAAAGAAAGGATGTCCGATATTAGCACTTACAATATATGCTGGCAGCAAGCCATTCATTGATAATTTTAACCCATGTGCTAACCCAACCAACATCTATGCTCCACCTGTAGAAGTGACTAAGATTAGAAGTATAGGAGTTTAGGTATTGTAAGGACTATCTGGAGTCCCTAATAACAGATAAATCCAGAGGATTTTAGAGATCTTACTTTCTGGTTGGATGTTTTAGTTCCCAGTTAATGAATAACATCGCAAAATACATTGATCCCATCGAAAATATGAAATGGAATATCTCATACTTGTAAGGTATATCATCTTCAGATGGAACCTCATCCTTGCGGAACTGCATATGAACAAACATTAAGGGCATTACTCATTTCTATGATTCATCTTGAAAGAACAGCATAGCATCCGCATATGTTTTGTTCTTTTGATGGAATATCAAAGGTGAACAAAAGATGCTAGGCCTTCTCAAAACTCTTTAAAGTACAACCAAATGACTGAAAATGTTTTCACCTGAAAAGATTGTGAATCGATTCCAGTTGAAAATGTTGCCATTACAATCGCACAAATAGCAATAAAGAAGCTCTAGATCAGAAGCATCAGAAGATTGCAAACATCAGTTGGCAGGAACTTACCAATGTATTCATAGGAAGCTTCATCAAAAGCTCAAAAATCTTATTATCTGTAGATATGCTCAAATTTTACATAATCTTGAAGGTATCAGAAATATATTCTGTCAAAATAGAAACTAATAACAAGTTGCTTGGAATGAATATCCATTATGACTTGATCGAGATTATGACAAAAACTGATTTATCGTCAAATGGATCATTCAGTATAATCACAGCAACAAGATGAGAGTATTGTTATATAATACACAACATCAAAAATTACAATTAACCCATTGGCTGCGTTCACAGCTTAGACTAAATACTGACATAAAGACAATAAAGAAAGATCTACAATACCCTTAATGGTAATGGTGAAAAATGGATATTGAATTGATATAAAAGAGCTTTTACACAAAGAGATTTATCAGCTAAAAATTAAAGGTGTTTGTCTTTCTTACTAGTATAGTAGTCATGTCATCTCTGTCGGCCATTTTCTTTTGACTGTTGCATTTCTGGGTATGAGGTTCACTGCAAGTGGCAAGAAAGATTGTTCTTGGTGAACCTTGTTAATTAAATCCTTACAATTTACTAGGATATACATGAAGATGAAAGATTTTCAATTAACAATTAGATTTTCTTAAATTCTCAATGTAATTAGCACTAGTAGTTATTATGTTTAACAAAAGCTATCAACACAATCTTCTGATAGCTCATGTTCATGGGCATATATATGCAGTTATATTTCCACTATAAATATATACATGCATGTTATAAAATGTTAGTAGAGCAATAAATAAAAGCTCAGGAGAAAATAAACTGTAGAATGGTATAGTGACTTGAAAGATATCACAAAACTAGATAATAACCTACATCATGAGTACAATCAATAACAAGTTTCTCAGATGTTGTCATACCTTTGAATAGCAGACCAGCAAAGGAAAACAATGTATGAACCCATGATTGCAGAAGATAAAAGTCCCACATTAACCTATTTTATAATGTGAAAAAGGTAGTTCACAGTTCACACTGATTAAAAAGATGATGCATGACTTGAGACCATGTGGGTAATAGTAACTAAGAAGATAGAGACAAATGATCATTTAACATATCATAGTAGTATGTTAAATATTTAACATATTTTAATGGAGAATCTGCTGAAGGTAATGAAAATATGGTAAGAACCCAAGAATCAACATGGTCTATGTACGTGTCATAACTGAGTAGTTTCATATTTCATTTGACTGTATACCATGCAAGTAATCAGTCTACTTATATTAGACCATGAAACAGTGTATATTTATTACTATGTCAAGGTTAACTTTCATGATTTGCACAATTAATCAGGAAGATGCTCGCTAAGGCTTTTGAGCATTGGCTACAAAATTTATAGAACATTTGAGTTCTTTATTCATTTTGTTTATCTTTTCATATCTTGATATCTGAATATATGTGACATTCTTTCTGGAATTTTCTGTTTCTAAGTTTCTAGGAGGAGAATCCACTCACTCATAAATCTGGTATCTAAAATATATTGCTTCTGTTACGTGTGATACCTGTAAATGTAATATTCGTGACAAAGAAGAACATCTACTTTTGGTTGGAAGAAATCAAGAGAAAGGAAACTTTCTCATTGTAAAAGAGATTTCTCGGGCTCTGGGAGATGCTTTGTACAAAAGACTAGATTTTGCTCTTTATGACTTTAACGCTTTGCAGATTTCTTTTTTTTTTTATAAATGCAAAATTTCATCACAGTCAAAGTAATAATGCTGCCAAGTGATGTCTATTGTTAACTAATTCTTCCCTTTTCCGGTAGTCCTTTTAGGTTTGAGCTTAAACCACCAGAAATTACTGAAGTGTTGAGATTCTCAAAACGCAAATACATATTTGTTTTTCAAGGGAAAGGCACTCAACATATGTAGAGTTCAGTTTTTGACCTGGAATCAAATAATGAATCCCACATATCAATAATAAATATTGTCGGGATATGTCTGAATTATTATTTTTAATTCAAGGGAGACCTTTTATGTTTATTGGTGGTTGACTTTGAATAGTTAGTTGAGAGGACTGCAAAGTTTCTTGGCACTTCTCCTGAGACATGCATATGTTGTTTTGACTTTTGAACATGTGGTTGCTATGTGTCTACACATTTTAGCTCTTTGAGATCAGTTTATTTAACAAGTGGCCTCTAAGAAATGGATTAAAAGAGATAAGAATTGAGTTTCTTGCTAAGCATTCTTATTTTTCATGATTTTCACAGTAGATGCATTGCCCACTCTAGTGAATCTCATAAAGAATAACACAGAAGTTTTATCAGAATGAGCATAACACCTTCAAGATAGCCTAAGCAATCCCCTGATCTTCAGTTTACAGATACACATTTGCGTAATGCTTAACAGGAATTTATACATGCTACACAAATAGCATTTTCAGTGATCACACAAAAATTCTCTTGAACAAATTAAAATAGTAATGTGTTTTAATATTGGCTATGAAATAAAACTTCGTATTTGTGAAAGTATTCATAGAATGTAAATATTGGTGGAGCATACCTTAGAATGTAGAGATACTATCATCATAACTTTAACCAATATTGCTGTCCATGTGATGAAGAATATGTTGATGACACAAGTTGACTCCAGTGCATATAAATAGTACATCAGAATAATCCCAAAGAAAGAAGCAATGTAGAAAATGGTGGACAAGAACAATCCAAGCAAGGCACTGAAAAAAGGTAAGAGAAAATAGAAAAGGTAATTTATGCAGAAGAATCTCCAAGCCATTACAAAGAACTTTGTTATAAATGACAACAGATAGCTAGAGTGGATACAATTTTCTCCCACCAGTTATATGTGGTTTACGTGGCATATTAGATATAAAATAATAGAATACAATGGTCTATTGTAAAACCATGCACTTACAAGATTGAAAAATTGAATGCATAGACTTGGCTTATGATGTTATATTCTGAAGTTCAAGTGTAAGCCAACTATATCATCCAATAGACATTCCTTAAGATAATTGAGTAATTTCTTCTGTCAACTGCTATAACATCTCTTTTAACTGATTATTGCATGCTTATGTGAATCTTAAAAATGAATCAAGTTGATCAAGAGTAGGCAAGACCTTGTATGTAATGTGTGCCAGAAAAATCAAAGTTTCATCATGCCTGTGAATGAAACAATGCACAGCATTGCAACAGCATATGACGTTAAAATTGTGGCTCCATGATCAATCTCATACCATTTGTTTGTTTCCAAATCTGCCATCCACTGGTTGTCGCACCATTTAAGGAAGCGGATCATACTTATAAGTTGGAGAAGAAGAAAGACCCTGTACAATTCCAAAGCAGACATATTGCAGGTTTGAAAAACATGTGAGATCAAATAATCTTTCTTGATGAAAGGAGTGGGATTATGAGACTGCTGTAGTTCAAATACAAAAAATTCTCATGAAAGGAAATAATAAAGCTTTGAGGATAACGTTGCAAGATAAGATTCCAGAAGAAATGACATCAAATGAATTCACTATCATTTTAACTTATTTTTTGGATATAGATAAAGTGAAATATCTATGGTATTATTAATGTTGAGCTTTAAGGATATAATCTATACTTATTAAGCTAGCTCTAGCTACCATGCTGGCATAATAAGCTGTGTTTATGCATGTGTGTCTACATACAAGAGGAAGAAATTTTATTGTTAGTTCATATTTCAAGCCCATATGTTACATGTAGGTTTACCAAATCTTCCATTCAATCAGGAGGAAAACAGCAACAATTTGTTACATCAATCTATATACTTGATACAGCTATTTGATGTTGATATAGACGATGAACCAAAAATCATAAAAGGTTGTTTGTTGTATTAACATTTTTAAATGGTTTATGAAAGAACATCATTTGATAAATGCACATTATAGTTGCTTATTTGGTGTCAAAAACTTGAAAAATTAACTCTGGAGTAAGTTCCTTGAGTTGCTCTAATTGTTGTCAGACTGACATGTAATTCTTAAACTCTTAATCAGTTTGGTAACCAAATTCCAATAAAGTGTTAGATTAAGATTGACTTTCTCAAATGTAGTGACTCAAGTTTCAAATACTTAGCTAATCACATGCGGTAGTTCTATAATGTCCTGCCTATGGCAACAATTTTTCTGCTCCTCTTTTAAGTGCTTTATACAATAAAGTTCTCAAAATTTGAAATATTTTGTTGTGGCAGATAAAGGAAAGAATGTTTGGAAATAATGACACTAGAAATGCAAATTTTGATTGTAGGATGGTGAACAAATATTGATTGTTTAAATTAAAAGGATATACTCCTATTTTAAATTTGAGCAGCGGGGACTCTATTGAAATCTATTTATGATGTAATGATTGCAACTAAAATCATTTCTCAAATGAAGTAATTTGATAATTGTTTTTAAAGTTACACCAAACTAAAGGTGTAGCATAAAAGAAATTACTTATATAAGATGGGCATAGAAGGATTACAGTATTACCCAGCACCAACACGTGCAACTTCACCTGCAAAAAGAAAGGTTCGTTTGTCAATAATTTTTTTTAATATCTACCTCTTCCATTTTCATTTTTTTTTATATTTTGCTGCAGGTTGAGCAAAGAACTAGAAGCTAATATTTGCTGGTTATATTCTCATGTTTTACCAAAGCAAAAAGAGATACATATGCTTTGACAATGATATCTTCTATCAGACAAGGATGCACTGTTTTTTCATGGTTCAATGTAAAAATTATTTAGGAAGAAGAATATAAAAAAATTGGACTAATAATGTGAGACAATATATTGCTTTTATATGGATGAAAATCAAATTCTCTGTATTAATATAATACTTAATTACTATTTTGCATTACCATATATTTGGATAATATTTGAAGGGATGATGAACGGAAACCCTGTTGATAAAAGATAAACCATGCACTTCAGAGACCACCACCCAGAATGCCATGAATTGCGAGCTTCTTGCAGCTTGTGAACTCTAAAACTGGTGACACACATGAGTGAGAAAAATGTCTGTTTATGGTCAAGGTGTCTAATATTTGTCATTCCAAGATGTTGCCACCAGAAGTAAAGCATTTAAGAGAGTTACTACTGTTGGAATTTGAATAACATCATCTCAGTTACATCACAAGAAATGCAAAATCCATAATCACTTTTGAAGTATTATATTGAAGAATTTGTAACTCTTCGGAGTTTGTAAGAAAAAGATACGAAACACCCTAAGCTCACTCGAAGAACTCCTCCAGCATGAACACAGTTATTTCCCTCAACTCCACATGCCCTTTCAGCTGAACAATGAAAAAAAAACATTAAAACAAATATAGCTATAATTTTAACGGTGTATTACTGATATTCCAACTTTTCTACAATTTCCTTACCTAGTCTGTAGTAACAGATGAAAGAACCCTTGATAAAATTTCTAGTTTATTTTTATATACCAGAAGAATTTACAATCCAGACAAGATAAGTACCAAAAAAGAGATTGTTGACAAAGACAAAAGAAGCTTCTTATAGCTGAAGTTGAAGGTGGAAATTAGAAGAATAATTTGAAATTAGACGATCACAAGCAATCTACTCAAGACTAGAGTTTTCATATGAGATGGCACAGCACGCTACTCAACTTGACCAAGACTCAAACAAAGAAGTGGATCTACATCTAATTTTAGACCTAGTTCTTCCACTCGGTGGATCTGGATCTCGGACTAGATATTGATCACTCCTTCACTTGGTGTATCAGATTACAGTCAAGAAGTCTTCAGCTTCATATTGGACATATTTGAACTTAACTAATTAGTCACAAGTTTAAACAAATACTACCATGCATAATCAAAAGAGTTTTGTGTGCAGTTCATGGATTCAAAATTCTAAAACTGGCACTGGAAATAAGCCTAGTAGATCCAGTTCGATTAGCTTTTATTAGTTAGAAGAGGATCAGAGAGATGAATTGCTGTAAAATAGCAGTGTCATTCAAAAAAGTCCTAACTTGATTGATAATCAGGATGTCAGTCACTTACGAAGAAAACTATGAAGAACCTTGTGCCCATAGTCACGAAGAAACCAAGCCAGTAAGTTTGTTATGAAGAAAATAAATCCATAAACATATCGAGCTTGCAAAGATTGCTTCCTTTTGAATGAATACAGTTCACTCGTCTGTTTTATATTTGGTTTGTCCTGTCTTAGCCCATCTTCATGATTTCTATCATCTTCCACCACAATGTTGTCAACAGATTCCATCTGAGAATGGAAAAAAGGATTAACGGATAAATAGAGAACATGTAGAACCAACGATATAAAAAAAATTTCTTACAAGCTATAACAACGAGGCCCAAATCAAAATGATACTTTAGTATAAAAAACTGCAAAGACAATAGAACATCTGCACAAATGTATTTAATGTAAATGCAAACAAGAAAAGATAACATTTATGTTTGAGTGACTAGCAGCATCAAGAAGCGTAATTAGGTTCAAGAACATGTGTAATATATGAAAGAGCACACTACGCCAACGTCAAGATAATAAAACTTGTTGCATTCTTAAGCAATTTATCAGAAGTTGCAATGACAAAAGCTGTGGCAAGTAACATTGCCCAACGCTTAGTCACAGAAGCCAAAAAGAAGAAAGAAAAAACACACTGCCTACCCGCATGACTTCATTAACAGCATAATACTATATTCCTCCTTAGTCCTAAGTTGAGTCCGAAGCTTCCTTCAGCATATCCATCGTGGCTCCTTCATCATATCCAAAAGATGAATCAGGTGGTATCTAAGATAAGTTTATTCAACGAAAATTCATCATATCCAAGATAAGTTGTTGCTTTGTATCCATATTTATGCTCTAGTTATTAACTTGTGATCAGATGGTCATGACCTGCTAATTGAGTTCACTGCAGTAAGATGAAAATTTTGAGGAAAATCAACTTACAGATGATTGTCGGTCAATGCTTGTTTCTAAAATTTTGTGGCTTTTACAGATACCAGTTTAGGTTTCCCTATGTGTAAAGTTCTCATTAACATCGAAACAGTCAAAATGATTCCAGGGTTTAGCTAGTGCCTCAAAGACTGAGGGACACTACAGAGCCAGACCAAGCATAACAACAACCATCTCCGGAAAGATCCCAGAAAAGGGAAACCCACAACAATGAATTTGCACCTGCCCGAGCAACCACAATAAATGGAAATAAAAGAAGGAACAAGGGCTTGTGACACAACGAGATTGCTCATCACACTAGGGCAAATGTTGTATAATAATCACATCGGTAACACCATAAACATAGAGACGCAGAAGCAATATAATCTTTCTCTAACAATAGGCAACTGAAAGACACAAAAAGAATACCCCAACACAAAGGCATTGAGCACCAAGGAAAAACCAAGAAACTCGAGTCCCAATGTCATTCAAGAAGGGGAAACAGAGAGAGGGCAGCAAAGCTGAGGCACCAAGAAAACCAACAAACTCATCGCCTTAATGCCCAAAACGTCGACAAGCTAAGGAACACCATAAAGATGGCACAATCTCGAACAACGTCTCCACATAGATGCCGAGATTTGGAATGTAAATGCAACAGAGTGACCAATTAGGCTTCCAAGAACTCACATTTCCAAGAATCCAGTGGCAACAAATCGGCAACAGAGAAGAAAGCAATCCTCCCGCTCTCTCCGGAGGAGCCCTTTAAATAGCTCTCTCGATGCCACTCTTGTGGTCAAAATGACCAAAACACCCCCACCGATCTGGAGATCGGACGGTTCGTCACTGCCGGGACGGACACGGGCGACCGTTGGGCCGCTCTTCTTCACAAAGCTTTCTTCTCTCTGTTGCCCGAAAGAAACCTCCGCAGGAAACACGTTAATGGGGTTTGGTAGAGCAGTAGGAATGCTGGGTACGTGGAATGGCACGTAGCAATTGGACCTTTCTGCTACATGGAATATGGAATCTGCTTCGTCTTCTAGATTCATACTGACTCGCGTTGCATGGAAATCTTGTGTTACTTGTGGAGATTACCAAGTGGAAACTCATGGGTTTCCCAGGGGAGCAGTAAGAGCTTGTGAGGCTGGTCATGGATTGTCGTCCATTTTCGATTGACATGCTTGAAGAGCACAATCTTTCAGTTCACCTATCCAAAGTGAATTTTCCAAGATTTCATCCAAAGCATATTTCTTCGTAGAAACGGCAGCGTGATTAACTTTGTTGAATCGGACAACGACAGGATAGCGAGTCTTGGGATCCTGAAAGAACTCAAAAATGTTAGGAACTGGAAGGAGACCGACAGAGTCACATCAATGTTCTTTTAAGCTAGTGCATGAACATAGAGAATGTGTGTGTGTGTATATGTATAATCGACCAGTACAAACAAATACCTCGGCACCTCTCTGTGGGCCATTTGGCGGTGGCGGCTTGGCAACTTCTGTAGCCCCCCGCTCCCGTTGGTGGGGGCGCCGATGCCTCTTCCGCTCGAACCACGAACCTTGTACTTGGCGTAGAGAAGGGAACGGAATTTACACGTGACGATGGCCTTGGGTGGCAGCGACGGAGAAGACGGAAGTGAGCAACGAAGCTGGAAACAGAGGAAATCAAGCTGGAGTTCACCATGACGTACGTAATGGCCAAAGGTTACCTCCCCCCCTTGTGCCAGTGATTGAGATGGATTGGACAGTAGGGAGACGTTGATGGTTGCAAAAATGCAGGCAAAATTATCTGCTGCATTACGAGCCGAGAAAGATGTGACTCCCTCGACCGAAGCCGTGACACGTGCCGTCCTAACTGGTTCATGTGGATAAAGACTTGGATTTGACTCCCAAGCGCATTAATACTGTACTACTAAATTCAAGTGATTCGATAAACATTTACGTCTTAGTCAATATTCAGATTCGAGCTAAACCACTGATCAAACGTTGGCATCACATATGACTCATAATCAAAACTACAAGTTCAAACTAATAATGGTTTCTGAAATGATTAAAACATCGTTACCCAGAGACAAAGGTAAACAGCGTAAGTTGACCATCTTCTTACAGCAAAACACAAATCAATACACGGCTGCCATTTCCAAATCAAACCAACACCAGCAGTGGATCAAATTCAGCTGCTCGAAAACATACGTCCTATTTACCAAACCCTAATGCACAATTTCAAAGTTTATGGAGAGAACCGCATGGATCTAAATTAAAAATTGAAGCTATAATTTGATTAAAGGATGATAACCTTATGGTTACAAGGAGAGATGCATGGTCAACGTGCCAAAGCAGTTTGGAAGCACAACATTAGAATTAAGGGGAGGCATCGTCCTCCTGTATTCTACAGCATGCATTCATGTCCTTTTAGGGGCTTCAAAGGTTTGAAACCGACCACCATTCATTTACCTTTTCGACGCTTCTGCATGCCAATGCAATTAGGGCAGTACCATTTGCCTTTGGGTTGTTCTTTCAGACCAACACAGTCAAAATGGAACCACTCTATCTTGCACTGCCAAAGAAAAGAAATAATCAAAGATGAGCAGTAAATTAAACTAACTCCAGGCAAAAACTAGATACACAAGGAAAGACCAAAGATGAGCAGTATTTACATTGGCATTGTCGCAGGCAACCATCTTCCCAAAGCTAACTTGGTTGCAGATGCAGTAAGTAGGTTCATTTGGATCCACAGGCAATTCCAGTTCGACACCTGGTGGTTCTGCTGCTAACCGTGATCTGTTGCCAAGAATGAAATGTCAACCAAGTGGCCAAGTCGCAATGGTTTATACAGGTTATATAGAAATGACATACTTTTTACGGCCCCCTCTGCCACTTTCAGTAGCCCTTCCAGACCTTGTGTTAGGATCAGTGTTGGACACACCCGCAGCATTATCAGCACCAGCTGCAAGTTCCCGCTCTAACAAAATGGAACACTAATATGCTAGAACATTCACTAGTCTTGATATCCAGAACTTATCACACTCCAGGTATTTTACCTTGCCGCAGTTCTTCAAGCTTTCTCATATATTGATCAAGTTGTTGGATATGTGCATCCACCTAAGGTAGAAACTGACATCATCAGCAAACAGCATGATGCTCAATACTCTAATCAAGGTCTCAGTACAGAGAATGAATGCTACGAATCACTAATGATTACCTAAACATCAACATATGGTAGAAATGAAAAATATGTTGCAACCAGTGCAACAACACTCCACAAAAGCCTATGTAAAACATGCATCAATGGAGTCTTACAGAGATTTATTGAGCAAAATGGTATTTAAGGTCAATTCATGGTGATCATGATACAGAGACCAAATGTTAGCTCACATACTACAGTTTAGGGCAACATAAATTAACATAGTATAATCCTTAAGATGGATCGTTAACCAAAATTCAAAATGCGGGACGATATTTAATACTACAATAAGCTTACTGCCATAAAGGTATCAAGGTGGTCAGAAGTAATAAGTTGGTTTGTATTACCATACTTGAGTGGTTGTTGACAAAATCAAATCAAGGTCTTCAGTGTAAAGAAATATTACATGCAGTAGAACCAGATAGTGAATAGGTAATGTACCATGTCATATGCTTGAATGGCCAACGTCACCTTTTCATCAGCAATCCTAATGCAATGCTTCTGTTCATCAAGTGCCTCATCAGAGAATCTAATGAGTGATGCATCAGGTGTAATGCTACCAGATTCTATCCCCCGCTTGATATCCTCTATTTCTTGCTCACAGCGCTGCTCATTTTGCTGCCGAACTCCTGCATGTAAAGTTACACCAATAATAAATAATGATCAATTACTCAACAGAAAATTCCTACAATTTGAAAGAAATCACTCTTTTGGGCAAAGAAGATTTAAAGACAGCAGAAAGGTAATCTTATCCAGTGGACGAAAGAGGGTGGGAAAAATTTCTAGCAAACTTTTCAGATGCCAGCTTGTTGCAAATATTTTAATTAGTACATTTGGAGAATTTGTATAAAATTCATCTAAATACTGGACAACCTCTACTCCCCTCTTAGAAACCAAGGGCTCTTCGATCAGTAACCCAAATTTGTACTCTCTCCAGACTCAACATACCCATGATGACAAAGGTCAAACTTATGTAACAACTGGTTAGATCCTCTAAATACTGAATTTGATACTTCTACTTCCCATTCAGAAGCCAACGCCTTTTCAATCAATAATCCTGAAATTTTACTGTCCAAACTCAACATACCCACAATGAAAAGTCTCAGTAAGTTATCACATAAGATGATCTGCCATCTAACATATGATAGTCAACAAGTATCGTGTTGGTTCATAAAAGAAGTACAGCATCTGTGTTGCAGCAGCATAAGAGATTTAGTTTGACCACAGATGAGGAGATTTGATGTGATTCTTAAAACAAGCACTGTAGGATTGGAAAGCATGCAGGTGATGTCTTTATATATGCATAGATCCTTATATTTTCCATTAAATCATTAACTGACTAAATGAGAGTTTCATCAACACACCCCAGCATCCCTCAGAATAATTGCATTTTGAAAAGAAAAGCACCTCAACATGCAAACAAGTACATTAAAAATTTGACATCAATATATAACTGCTGCATATCAAGCTAATCACCATGTTGACAAATTATGGATAAATTTTATTTTAACCACAAGAAAGAACAAAACTCATAAAATTTGAAACATACTGGACACTAGGATTTAAAAGAAATAGTGGATAATTGATGCCCTGATCAACACCAAACAGTTTTAAACACTTCATACTATCAAGTATTCTTCAAAAGATAAATTAATTATAAAATTTCCCTGGTGTAATTTGGTGCAAAACCGAAAAACATGGACCTATGCAGTGTTGAGAGAACTCTTTTACCCCCAAGTGTTAGGTCCATTAGTTATAGACCATAAGATGATCCTTAATTATATTGTAGGTTTGAAAGTTCACTGGCGAGCTAAAACTCTTCTAAGACACATCCATGCTGATGTTACAATGTTTTTTTTTCCACTTTTTTGAGGTATTTTGTAAATGCATCTTCTAATAGTGTCTAATACTATAATCTTAGATAAAAAAATCCATACATAATCCAACCAAATATATTCTGATTATATATGAGTCACTGCATCTCCAATTTTGTTCTTGCCGACAATGACACTCCCAAACATATCCGATGTCTGATTCTCATGTCTGCATTTATGCAACAAAATCAAAAAATCTCACTAGTAAAGAAACTTCATTGTCAGCAAGGGACTAAAGACTAAACTTCATTGTCCTTCGAATAATGGAATGCTTGTCCCTCTAGCTAACCAACAAGATAAAAGAATTTACTTGACAAAAAGAAACTCAATGATTTGTGGTAACTGGTAACAATGCACAAATCCATTGTGTCATCATTATTTTGATTGGTATGTCCAGGAAGCTTCCAAGGCTAATTTATTCCAAAGTTGCCCAACATAAGTGATAGGAACCCATTTCGTAAAAGTAGCAGTTTACCACCTTAATAATCAAAATAAAGCAATCCTCGTGGAAAAGAAATAGAGCTAGATAGCCAAGGAAACAAACATGAGTAAAGTGGGTTAAATAACTTCGGCATCCTATATATGCCATTTTTGTGTCACAATTTTACTAAGCTCATGCATATGAAACCAATACACTGCAGATAAAAAAGTTACTATGAAATTTACAAAATTGGATAAAGAAACATAACCCTTGATAAAGCACAAAAAGGCAAAGTGTACCTAATAGACTTTTATCTAGATCCCGCATCAGAGAATAATTGCGCTGCAGCATGGCTGGCACAGACTCAATACCTGTAAGGAAAAAAGAAATACTAAACTACAATACACCATAGCAAAAAGAAGGAGAAAAGCACACACCTGTGAGGAGAGAGAAAAAAGGATAACAAATATGTAATACAAGAAGGAAGGAACCATGTGATCAACCATAACACAAACCATCTGGATAATTTCTACTGAAAATAAAAAATAAAAAACTCTAATATCCAATAAACTAAATTTGAATGGACTCAGATACTCAACAATTTCTAATTCATATTATGATATGCTATCATGGTCATACATCTAAAAATACATTTGAGGGGTAC